TTGAACATATCATGAACTGAAATTAAGAAATTAAATTCTCATTATCCATATTACTTTCGACATGTAAAATTTACGAAATAAATAAAAGTTGACATAATCCTAGCATAAGAAACTATTATAAACAAGTATAATATATAAGCCGCATTATATGTTTGCGAAATGTAATTTTTTTTTGTCATCCTATTTCAAATCAAATTTTTATGTAATTTCGTTAATTTCATCAAAATCAATTTTGTTTTGTATATATAGAAAAAGTATTATTTCTTCACTATTTTCTAACAGAGTACAGTTATTCTCAAATTTTTTTTAATTAGAACAATATTATGAATAACAGTTACATATAGCAACAAAAAAAAAAAATTTTTTTTTCAAATTCTGGTACAAAAATTTTAGTACCACAATACTTTTGGTTCCGCTGGTACCATTTTATTGTTATTCTTTTGTCATCAGAAATTATAATTTTGGTACAATAATATTTTTGGTACCAGAAATTATAGTGTATAAAAATTATAATTTTCTTGTGACAAATTTATATAATTTTGGTATAATAATATTTCTGGTACAACAAATGTTATAATTTTGGTAGAATAAATTTTTTCTGGTACAAAAAAATCTTCTGGTCCCACTGTAATTTTATTTATTAGTTCACTTTCAATACTATTATATTTTCTGGTACCAGAAATTTCTATAATTTTGGTACAATAATATATCTGGTACCAACAATGTTATAAAAATTTTGGTAGAATAATAATTCTGGTACCAGAAATTATTTTCCAAACGAAATAAATTTAAAAAAAAAATTTTTTTTTACTCTCTTTTAAAAACATTTTTTTTCTAATTTTTCTTTTTTGAGAAGGGGAAAAATGAAAATTTTCATATTAAAATTGTATGTACTATGTATGTATGTATATATATATAGAACTACCGGCTCCTGAAAACTTAGCTCAGTATGTACCTGCCGATTATCAAATCTTATTGCATAATCACGTCTCGGTTACGAGTTTGCGGTTGCGCCAGCGCGTTATGACTCTTATGAGAATTGGACCTTTTATGTCTATACACTACTCTTACTACTTTTGATGAAACACTGCATTTGTATTTGTTCATAAATTGTAAGCAAATCTAGGTCACGCGAATTGTTTAAAAAAAATGTATATATATATATATATATATACAATAATTGTCTTATAATTTATTTTTCGTCATTTTCAATTACCCATTATAAGAGATTATAAATGATTGTATTTTAGTGAATCATTCAAGTGAAACACACTATTATTCTTTAATTTATTTCTTATTCTATTAAATTAACCAATTGCATTCTAACAAAAATAAAATGGAAAATAATGGAAAATTAAAAATCGATATAAAAATTATTATTAAACATCCGTAATCATATTATTATTAAAATTATTTTTATTATTATTATTATTATTATTATTATTATTATTATTACAGAAGTATTTTCAAACCAAAAGTATTTTCTTTCCAAAAATATTGTGGTACCAAAATTATTTTCATACCAAAAGTATTGTGGTACCAAAAGTATTTTCGTATCAAAAGTATTGTGGTACCAAAAGTATTGTAGTACTAAAAGTATTTTCATACCAAAAGTATTGTGGTACCAAAAGTATGGTTGTACCAAAAGTATGGTGGTACCAAAAGTATTTTCGGACCCTATGTATTTTGGTACCAAAAGTATTTTTGTACCAAAAGTATTGTGGTACCAAAAGTATTGTGGTTCTATAAATATTTTCGTTCCAGAAGTACTATGGTACCAAAAGTATTGTGGTACCAAAAGTATTTTCGTACCAAAAATATTGTGGTACCAAAAGTATTTTCGTACCAAAAATATTGTGGTACCAAAAGTATTTTCGTACCAAAAATATTGTGGTACCAAAAGTATTTTCGTACCAAAAGTATTGTGGTTCTATAAATATTTTCGTGCCAGAATTACTATGGTATCAAAAGTATTTTCGAAACCAAAAGTATTTTCGTACCAAAAGTATTGTGGTACCAAAAGTATTTTTGTACCAATAATAATGTGGTACCAAAAATATTTTTGTACCAAAAGTATTTCCATAACAAAAATATTATGGTACCAAAAATTTTTTTATAGCAAAAAATAATATTGTACGAAAATTATAAAATTTCTGGTACCAAAAATATTATTGTATGGAAATTATAAAAATTTCGGACACCAGAAATTAAAAAATTTGTCACAATAAAATTTCTGGTATCATTAATATTTTACCATTTTATTTTATTTTTTATTTTGATTGATTGATTTATTTTTTTTTTTTTTGAAGTGTAATCTCCATTCCTTATTCTAAATCAAAAGTATGGAGCCAACTTTTGCAAATTTCAATCTTTCAATTAAACAACTTGGAAATTCAATTGCATCATGACCAGTGGGACTAGATCATGCAAAACTTTGCAATGTCGTGGTGAACCGGCTCTCTGATCATTCAAAGATTCGCAAAAATTTCGCAAGTTATTTCATAGCCTACTTTAAATCCATTAAGAATTAAATCGGCAATGAAAAAAAAAAACCAGTTCGAAAAGTTATTCTTCTTTTATTTTATTTTTTTTTTTTTTGGTTCACTCACAAACTGGTTATTAAGCAATTTAATTATTTTGTTTTTTTTGCAAAATAATTAATTGAAAAATACTTTTTTTCGGGTACAAAAAAATTAGAAATTTAAATAGAATTTTGAGTTTAATGTATATATGTATATATAGATAGAAAATATCAAACTAATATAAAGTTGTTTTATAGTTACTCCGGTATATGGCTTTCACTTTCGTTGAACATTTTTTGTCTCTCTAACCTTTTGACTTTTTTTTCCTCATATGTTTTCTTTTCTTTTTTTGTATTTTTTTTTTTTAATCGAATCCCACAATTTCACACATTATTTGGCAAAAATTTATAAAAATAAACGAAACGAAAAAAATGTAATAAATTAAATATTATTATTATTATTGTTATTATTACTGTTATCACTATTATTATTATTATTATTAATAATTATTATTAATAATAATAATAATAGTGATAACAGTAATAGTAACAATAATAATAATAATAATAATTAAATTTGACTCGAAAAATTCGTTTAAATTTGAATTTCCCGCTCTTAGTCGAGGCGGGAAATTTAAATTAATTTAAATCAATATTTAAAACAAAATTACTATTATAATAATAATAATAATTATTATTATTATTATAATTTTTATTATTATTATTATTATTATTATTATTATTATTATAAAAATTATAAATTATAAGTCTTTTTATTAATTTTGGATTTGTGGGAAATTTTTATTTTTACAAATTCGATTTAAAAAAAAAATTAGTTTTGCAAAAATATTTTCATAAAATAGAATTTTCTTTGAGAAATAATTTTTTAAAATAAAGTAATTTGCATTAGAATCACTTATTCGATTTGTTATAAGAAAAAAAAAAATTAAAGAGAATTTTTTATCACAGCAATTGACTTTATTTTTATCGTGTTATTTTGATGTTTTTTTTTTTTTTAAACACGAATATTTAGGTCGTGCAATCATTGACCCCGAAAATCATAATAATTTTCAAGTTCGTAATTTGCTTTAGATGTGTACGAAACGTGATTTTATAACGGTTCAGGAAACAGTTACGAGCAAATTGTTTATTTAAAGTGAATTTTTAATTTAATTTATACGAATTATTATTTATATATTAATATATATATTTTTTGATTTTATTTATGTTTTTTTTATTGATATTTATTTTTGTTTTATTGCGAAAAAAAAATATTTTTACTGATATTTTGAGAAAAAAAAATTTCGATTTCATTTTCCCCTTTTTTTTGTTTTTATTTTATTTTGTCGAAAAATTTTCGGGATATTTAAAAAAAATGGAAGAAATAATGAAGGAGCGAAACAAATTTTTAAATAAAATTTAAATAAAAATAGAAATAGTGAAAATATTGAGTCTCTGATGTAAAAAAAATAGTAAATATCTTTTTTTTTATTAATTTTATTTTATATTTAAATCCAAGACATTTTTATTAAAAAAAAAAAGTTAATTTTGGGTAAATATTAATATAGAAAAAAATTCGTTCGACTGAATTCAAATGGAACTTGACCCACATTTGGTATTCAATTTCAGGTCAAGAAGACATTGTCTGATCTTTTTTTTTTCTCTTCTGGTTTGAAGAATTCTTGATGGAAATAAAGTTTTGTATAACATTATGAATGCTAATAAGGAGAGAGAGAGAGAGAGAAAGAGAAAGAGATGAATCATTCTCAAGAGTCATTAGCTTTGTTTGAGAGAGAAAAAAAGGAACTATTTCATTACTGACAGTTTATTAGCAATGGATTTTTAAAAGTGTTGCACCTTTTCTTTACAATTTTTTTTTTTTTTTTTTGCTCTTTAGAAAGTGACCTTCCCTTTACAAGATCTTATTTAACGTTTCGTAATCTGTAATACATTTTTATTTGCGATATTTGGGAATCAAGTACTTGAAAATTTAATGAATATGTTAAGGTCAAAAGCCTCAATAATTTTTTTTTTTTTTTTTTAATTGATTGTCAAAAAGTACGAAAAAAGTTTTTGTTATTTAATTTTTTTTTATTATTTTTATATTTTTTTAAAAATAATTTATTATTAAATTTTGTTTTGTTTTATTTATTACTAAATTTGTATTAATTTTTTACTTTGTAATTTATTATTAAAATATTTTTTTTTATAATTTATTACTAAAGTATTAATATTTTTTTGATTTATTATTAAATTTGTATTATTTTTTTTGTATCATTTATTATTTTTTTAATTATCGAATTGTTTCGTTTATATATTTTTCCCTTCGTTAAAAATTGAACTATAATTTTAGGTAAATTAGGAGAAATTTAATGAAATATCGAATTTAGTAAATGTGTTTTACGATTTTATTTTTCATTTTTTTGTGAAATTGAATGGAATTTTTTAAAATAAATGAAATTTTATTTTTTTGTTTTAGAAGTTGAATGTGAGGTTTCGAGTCAAGTAGAATACTCAATGCAAGCGATATGGGGTGTAAGTATAAGGGAACTACACCTCGCTCTTTGGAAACCTTGGAATACCCTCAGGGACGCATCCCTAAATGGAACTCTTCTTCAGGGACACGCTCAACATCTCACACCACCTAGAACGTATCCTTTTTTTTTTCTTCTCAATCTCAAATTCTTATCAATATAAATGGAAATTTTCATCTTTTTTTTCCGATTTTTTACTTTTTAAATCGAAAATTCATTCTTTTTTCTTTTCTAAATATCGTGTAAATTTATAAAATATAATTTTTATTATATTATATTTTTATTATATTTTTATTATATTTTTATATAATTTTATAAATTATTAAATTAAATTTTATAAAAATAAAAAAAAAAAATAGTAAAAATAAAATTATAAAATAACAAAATAAAAAGAAAAAAAAAAGAAAATAAAATTCAAAAAAGTAATAGAAAACAAAAATAGATATTTACAGTATTTTCTATTTTTTTTTAAAGGAAAAAATTGCCTTTTTCTTAACTGTAAAACATTTAGTAGACAACCGCACGGAGAAGAAACTTTGAGATTGTCACTTCCAGCTCCGGAATTGGAACTGGGAACACCGCCGCGACTCTGTTATCCTCTGGTGATTTTTCTCACTCGCAAAGATAACAGAGATCCTCATCCGGATGAGACTGTAAGTTAAAAAAAATTAATTAAAAAAAATTCACTTTTATTTCCGTTTAGAAAAAAAAATATTTTCTTTTCAACTAAAACAAAAAATTTCGAAATTAATTTTTAATTAATTTAATAATAATAATAAAATAACTAATTTAATTGCTTGTTATTAATTAATAAATATTATTATTATTATTATTATTATTATTATTATTTTCGTTTTCCACATTTGTTGGTGTCATTTATTTAAAGTAAGAAACAAATTTCTCTAAATCAATAAAAAAAAATTTAATTTAAAAAAAAAGTTTGAAAAAATTGAATTGAAATTTTTTTGTTTTTCCGAAAGAAATTTCGGGTAATTTTTTTCCATAAAAAAAAATGAGTGTAAAAATTTTGATATAGAATTTTCCTTTTTCTGAAACAGGTCGCTCTAGTGAATGTCGTTCATATAAAAGACAGTGTCTGCACATTGCCGACCTCGATCCTCGCTCAGTATTTAAAACAGGCTAACGGGCAGTTGTCCTGTCTCAAGGTAAGCCTCATCATCATCCCGTTATAGCAAAATTTTGATTTGAAAAATCTTTAAATATACAAAAAATGCGAGAATAATTTTTTATTTTTAAAAACAAATAACATCGCGTGAACTGGTTTTTCTGTTTTCTTTTCTTTTTCTTTTTTTTTCTGAAATAAACATTCGGAGAAATTCTAAGGATCTAAAAATCTTATTTCAAATATTGACTTTTCTTTTTTTTTTATTTCTTTCGATTTCATTCGAGGAATTTTTTTTTTTCCTGCCACAAAGGAGAATAATGGAAAAAAAATGAGTAAAATAAAAATTGCATTTTTAAATAGAAAAACAATTTTATTTTTTCAATTATAAATAAAACTTTTTTTAAATAAGGGTTTAAAAAAATTGTCTTTGTTCAAAAATTCGAAATGGAAATTTTTTTCTGTAAAAAAGCGAAAGAAAGAAAAAATCTAAAATATTCAAAAAGGTTGAGAAATTTAAAAAAAAAAAAAAAAAAAGAATTGAGGGAACATATGAAAAAGACTTGGAAAAGTACAGTGGAGAAATAAACGATAAGAAAACTGACTCACACACAAAGGATGAAAAAAGTAAAAATGAGAGAGAAGAAAAAAAAAAAAGTATACGAGTAACTTGGAAAGATCCCAAAGGCAAATGGGATAAAATAAGAGAAATTTTTCCCGCATCGTTTCGATAAGGAAAAGATAAAAAAAAAAGAAAACTGTAGTTTGAAAAGGAATTTTTTAGCAAAAGGAATTTATTAATATTCATAAAAAAAAAAAAAAAATGCGTGAAAATAAAAATTTGCAAATAGAGAAAAATTAATTTTTTTTTCTTTTCAAAACTGTTGGAATTTTTTATTGATAAAAAAATATTCGCAGTAGAAAATAGTTTTTCTTTTTTTTTGCAATGAAAATCTTCTATTTTTTCTATTTTTCTTTTTTATTTTCAATGAAAATCTTATTTTTTCTATTTTTCCGTTTGTATTTTCAATAAAAATCTTTTTTTTTGTATTTTTTTCAATTTTCCTTTTTTCTATTTTCATTGAAAAATCTTCAGCAACTCTATTTGGCGACTGGAAACTCGACCAATTACGACGAAGTGGACGTATCTTCCGGGCTTGGGCCAGCGCTTGCTTTAGCTGAGCCTTGCAATAATAATGGCAATAATAGTAGAGGTGCTTTGGTCGCTTCCGGCGCTGGCGACACGGAAGGATCCCTCTGGAATTCAGCTGGCGAGCAACTTTGTGTCGTTTGCCAATATTTCCCACTTTCAAGGGCCCTTTTACCCTGCAGGTAAATACACTTTTTTTTCCTTACAATTTTTTTTCATTTCCCTATTTTTTATTAATTTAAAAAAAATTTTTTTTAAAAGAAATAACCAAAAAATTTTCTTCGAATAATTTTATATTAGTTTTTATTAATTGTTGACGCACTTTGAAGAAAGGGACCTAAGAAGCAAACGAATTATAGGTTATGTTTACAGTTTTACATTGATTAAAAGTTTCTTTTTACAGTGAAACCCACGTATATCGGACTTCAAGGGACGGGAAATCTACCTTACCGACTGATGGTAAAACAGTTTTTTTTGAAAAATGAAAGTAAAAAATTACCAACACAGAAATCTACCTTACCGACTGAGGGTAAATAAATTTTTTTAAAAAATGAACAAAAATTACCGACCTAAAAATCTACCTTACCGACTGGCGGTAAAGAATTATTTATAATTTTACTAACTTTTTCAAAACTGTTATTATCAGTCGGCAATGTAGATTTCCATGTCGGTAATTTTTATATAATTTTTATTTATCAAAAAGAACTGTTTTACCACCAGTCGGTAAGGTAGATTTCTATGTCGGTAATTTTTTTTATATATTTTCATTTATCAAAAAGAACTGTTTTACCACCAGTCGGTAAGGTAGATTTCTATGTCGGTAATTTTTATATATTTTCATTTAAAGCCTGTTTTACCATCAGTCTGTAAGTTAGATTACTATGTCGGTAATTTGTATACTTTCATTTTTCAAAACAAACTGTTTTACCACCAGTCGGTAAGGTAGATTTCTATGTCGGTAATTTTATATATATTTTTATTTAGAAAAAAAGAACTGTTTCACCACCAGTCGACAAGGTAGATTTTTATGTCGGCAATTTTTTTTATATTTTCCTTTAAAGCCTGTTTTACCATCAGTCGGTAAGATAGATTACTATGTCGTTAATTTGTATACTTGCATTTTTCAAAACGAACTGTTTTACCACCAGTCGGTAAGTTAGATTTCAATGTCGGTAATTTTTTATATTTCTCAATTTTAGACACACCTGCATTTGCGCCTCTTGTTTTGGAAAATTGGACAGGTGTCCCATGTGTCGTAGTCCAATTAAAAGTTACTTTTGCATAAGGGGCGAGGAATATATGCCACCCGAGAAGGAAGTGAATCCCTGTAAGCACCGAAGAACAGCTCATGGACCCTCGCACTGGCTCCACGATTGGAACGACAGGCTCACGGACTTTCTTGGCTTTGCCCGATAAAAAAAAATGCAAAAGCAAAAACAAAAAAAGCTTGGTTTTTTCGTCAAGCCTTTTAACCGTCCTTTTAAACTTAGTTTTCCCACAACCCCATCCAAAAGAGACAATGCCAGTGATAATAATTGCAATAAAAAATTTAAAAAAAATTTTTTAATTTAACTGACTCGTTAAATAAAGAGACGTCCTTCGTGGCAAAAAAAAGGGATTCTATTTTTCATAAAAAAAAAAATCGATCCAGAAAAAAATTAGAAAAGAAAAATCAAAGATTGAATAATTATCAATAAGGAAGTTATTTTTTTTTCATTCCGGAAAATTTAACCCCTTTTTGGAGAAATGAAAGAGATTATCGTTGCATTTACATTTCTTTGCAAAAAAAATTTTTTTTTTTTTTTTGAAAAAAATACGAAAGAGTATTTTTTAAAGGAAATAGAAAAAAAAATGAAAAGCAAAGAAAAAGAAACTAAAATTTAAGTTGTAAATACACAGACTGTGATAATCCTCGAATAATGTCTTTATATAGTTGTGGATTGCACTCTGCAAAAGGTGCTTTGGATCAAATATAATTAAAAAAAATATATATATATAAAAATTGATTTTATTAGTTTTTTTTTTTTTAAGTATAATTATCGACTTTCCCGATACGATTTTAAAAACTCTTTTTAAATTATGTAGATTCTAAGAAAAAGAAGAGAGAGAAAAAAAATTAAATTTCTTTTTGTTTAAATTTTTTGAGAGTTGAATAAAGTTGAAAAATAGAAAAAAAACGAAACCTCAATTTGTATATAGAGTAGAAACTTAGGGCCTATCAAGTCAATGTATTTTAGTAGAAAGACATTTCACTGTATTTAATTTATAAAACGTGCGATATTCCGATGACGAACGGAATTTAAAAAAAAAAAAAAAAGAAGACGCATTGACTCGTCGCAAAATACTTGTAAATAATTTATTTAATAAAGAATGTCGTTCCTAGGACTGTTTTTAATTTAATTAATACTTTCTCAATTTAATAATTATTTAATTTACTATTCAAAAAAAATATTCTTATTTCAAAATTCATAAGGTAAAAATTAAAAATTTTAAACAGTTATAAAAATAAAATTGTTTATTAAATTATTTAAAAATTATTTATCACATTTTTTTCGCAATGAAAATAATTCACCTTATTTGAAGTTTTCTATTTTTTTATCGTCAAACACGAACGCAATTTTGAATTAATTTCAACATTAATTTTAATTCTTTGATTAAATCTTTTTCATTTGTTTCAATTTCTTTTTCAGTTATCATTAAATCGTCATTTATTTGTTTAAACCAAATTTCAGCTTCGGTTGTTGAATTTTGAATTCGTAAAAAACGTGACGAACAATTTAACGTCACATCAAAAGTGGAAAAATTTTGTTGAAAATTTTGTATTTTCTTTTTTACTAAACAACGAAGACAGACGATAAATTTCATTAATTCTTGACGAAATTCTTCAGTGTACAGTGATTTTTGTGCTGACATTGATTCATCAATGACAGTTGTCTGAAAAAATATGTATATATTTATTTTAAAAATGATAAAAAAAAAGAAAATTAAAATGAAATATTATAAATACCATCCAGTCGTAAAAAATATTCTCTCGTTTAGACCATTTTGAATGTAAATCAATCAATTTTGCAATATTTTTTAAAGTTTCAACCGCCTCCTGATCCTGGGGATTTTTGTTATTCTTTGAAACGAGTCTCTTAATTAGAGACATTTCATAAACGGAAAGATGTGGTAAACCACTTGTATTTATACTTGCAGCATGAATTTTTGTCGTTAATCTCACTTTTTCCATTGATAATTCGGAAATTTCCTTTAAATTATGATTTAATTTTGAACAAATATGAACTATTGTTTTCATTTCATCTTCCAATGTGGAAGAATTTATTTCCTTTTGTGCTACCTGTGAAATTTTTTTTTTTTTTTTCAAAAAATTAGAAAATATTTCGATTTATAAACGAAATTGAAATAAATGCGCTTACTTGCAACGAAATTTGTGATGAACATTCCTGTCCCAGTGAACTATTTACAATATTTGATTTTACTTTTTTTTCCAATACATGAGTTGTCGCCAAAAGCCATCCAAGTGCCAAAAGTAATTCCCGACTATTATAAACATCAGTTTCGGGTATAAAATAAAATTCAAGTGCTGAATATTGAAGAAATGCAAAATTCAATTTTGTATTTGTAATTTTATCTGAAATTTTTTTTGTAAATAGTATTTATAATAAATAAATTTTTGTGAAATTTAATAAAATTAATAATTAATTTTTCTAACTTAAAGAAAAAAAGTTAAATATAATTTTAATTTTTAAAGCAAAAAATTTGTCAGCAGAATGTCTAAAAAAAATTTAATAGAATCGAAAAAATTATAGATATTATGCTATTTATTAATAACATGCGATTTTTTAAAACTATTTTTTAATTATTGAATTCTATTTTGTAGCAATGAATTCTATTTCGTAGCAAAAAATGAAATTGTCTTTTGAGGTTTTCGAATAATTTTGGCATTTCGCCGTTAATTTCTCAAAAAATTGAGGTTATATATATATATATTGACAAAAATATAGAGAAAAATAATAAAACTATAATTACCATATTCCTGAAATGAAACATATTTATTTTCTTCTAAAATTGCACAATTGCTGAGAATGTGTAAAACCGACCAGAATGCTTCGATCTATAAAAAAAAACAAAAATAATATAATTAAAAACAAAAAAATAACCTCAAAAAAAAAAGTTAATGAATGTAACATAATACGCTTACAGCTTCTTGAGAACTTTTATTGTATTTTGCCAATCGAAAATAATCCGGTTCCATAGAAATACCAGTTGAAAGAGTTAAATGTTTACATAAAAGTTCAATAACTGCTTTTGTATCCATTATTGTTTTTGTTGTTAAAGCTTATATATATCACTTCGTTTTCTGAGGCGCGCATGCGCAAATAACACGTGGTTTTACGAACCACGTGGTTTTAAATTTCAAATATACTTGAATCAAAATTTAACTTTAAAATTTTTTAATTACATGAAAATTTAAAATTATATTATTATAATTATTTAAATTATTAGAATTACAGTACGTAATTTTTTTTTTAATTTTAATAACTAAAATATTGTTTACAAAAGTTTTAATATAATTTAGTAATAATGAAAACACAGAATTCATGAATTTTATTTATTTGAAAAAATGAGTATAAAAAAGTAGATATAATAATTAAACATTATTATTATTATTATTAACCTAATTCGGAATCAATAACAATAAATCACTGTTACTATTATTTTTCGAAAAGTTAATTAATTACGTTAATTAGAACTGATTTTCTTTTCTTAATTATGACTAATATTAATTTTATTCAGGCTAATTAGAGTTAATTAAGACGTTATTAAATTTATTTATTTAAATTAATTATTAGCGATATTTACTCTCACTGTATATAAAGCAATATAGTATTCGTGCATTCTAATTACAATCTTGAAAATTTATTTACTTAAAAATAAAAATTAATGGCACCTGTTATTAAAACTTAAATAAAAACTTAATTAAATTCAATAAAAGTACATTGGGCAATTTTTTTTTTGTATTAATAATTAAAATGATTTGTAATTATAATTATTAAGTAATATATTGAGCAATGGAGATTCAAGATAATTTCATTGTCTAATAGTATTTTTTATATAAATATTCAAAATTAAATTATTTTAATTAATTTTTAAAAAAGAAATTAATAATTTATTAATTATCAAAAACAATTAATTTTAAAAAAAATTGTTATTAAAAAAAAACTATTGTAAAATTATCTATTGTAAAAAATTAATTATTGCAAACAATAATTTATTGCGTAAAAATTAATTATATATTAATTAAATATTAATTACATATATAATTTTTATTTACTATAAATTATTGTAATTTTTTTTTTCATCAAATATTCAATTGTCATGGAAAAAATTTGATTATTTATTAATTATATATATATTGTTTTTGTATAAAATATCTAATAATTTAAACATTAGGTATTGATTGATGGCTGTTCAATTGAATCAACAACGCCAAATGATGAAATAAAAACATTAAGAACGGTAACGGAGAAAATTCCAATAATTGTCCAATTACTTGCTCGATTTGCTTTACACATTTCAGAATCGACTTTAACATTATATCGACTATTCCAAATTAGGCCAATTCCAATGGCAACTTGTAAAATAAGACTCATTCCAATCATTGCCAATGATGGATAATAATAAGGATGATTTCCACTACTTTGTAAAACATAACGAAATTGATTTGCATTCGCTGATATTAGAGCAAGATCCATCATACCCTGGGCAATTGTTTTTTTTTGTTGATAAACATTCACATCCGGCGTTGGAGTATCGCCTGGCTGAAAAAAAATTTTTTTTTTTCAACAATTATTTATTATTATAGTTTAATTATTTTTTTCTATGGAATTATTTTAATTACAATAAAAATAATAATAATAATAATAAAAATTTTCAATTATTTAATTATTTTAATTAATTACTTTAAGTATTTATTAGTTTTTACAATTTTTTTTTATTTTTAACGTTAAATAATTGAGACTAATTTTAGTTGTTTGTTATTTACAAAATAGAGTTATTTATATACAGCAGTGTATAAACAGTAGACATTGATCAGGGTTCTTTGCCCCTGTACAACGTCTATTCGTTCAATATTTAAGTAGAGTTGTCTGTAAACAGGCGCTTCGAGGAAATGTTTTTCTTTCAATTAAGTGTACAATTATTTAATGCAAAAAGAAATTTTGCTAACATTATTGATAATAATATAATTATAATTTAATTATAATAATAATAATAATAATAATAATAATAATAATAATATAATATAAATAAAATATAAAAATAAAAAAATAATATAATTACCATTATTATTATTATTATTATTAATTAAATTTAACTTGAAAAACTAGTTAAATTTGAATTTCCCGCTCTTAGTCGAGGCGGGAAATTCAAATAAAATTTACAATTCTCGTTTAGTACAGTTGAAATCAATTAATAAAAATGTTTTTCCGACATATTTTAAAAAGAAAAATAATTTTACAATCAAAAATTCGTATAAATTTAAATTTCCCGCTCTCTATCGAGGCGGGAAATTTTAAATCAAATTTAAAATTCTCCATTACTTGGTAAAATGAGTTAATAAAAATGTTTTTATACCCAAATTTTAGAAAGAAAACTAATTTTAGAATAAAAAAAATTCTTTTAAATTTGAATTTCCCGCTCTTCGTCGAGGCGGGAAATTTAAATCAAATTTAAAATTCTCGTTTTGAACTGTTAAAATCAATTGAAAAATTATTTTTTTTTCACACTGTATTTTAGAAAGAAAAAAATAAATAAAAGTTAACAGACATTGGTTTATATTATTATTATTAAATAGAAAGAAAAAGAAATTGCAAAATTAATACCAAATATCCGGGAATAAAACCAGGATAATGTGGTTGTGGCGTTGGCGGATATGATGGAAAGTTTTTCGGCGGTTTATTTTTTGGTCGTTCTGGCAAAAAACCGTCATCGATGCCTCGGTCATTGGGTCCATAGTCCAAAGGCTTCTCCTCCGGCTCAAGGTCATCGATCTCAGGGCCGTAATTTGGTTTGGGATTATTTACATTATCAGTCTCCAAAAGACGTTCCGTTTTTTTAAAACCTGACTCCTCATTTATTTTTTTTCCCCTCGAAAATTCGTCCATATAAATAATTAATTCGTCCTCAGATTCAATTTTTCCGTTACATGACATTTTATTCTTTTCAAAAATATAATTTTTCTGCAAAAATTTACAAAATTTTTTTTTTTTTTGGGAAAAAGAATTAAATTAAAATTCTTAAATATTTCCTTCGAAAATTTGTATTTGAAAATAAAAATTTTTAAAAATTTATACAAATTTTTTTTTGGTAAAATTTTTGTTTACCTTTTTTGTTTTAAATATCAGTCTTTTTTGTTCTTTCACTTTATGTTTTCTATTTTATAAATAATATACTTTTCAGTCTTGATAATTCGTTTTTATTTAGTATATGATAATTAAAAATCTTCTTTGTTTTCTTTTCCGTCTTATTTTTTTTCTTTCTTTTTTGTTTATCACAAAGGAAGTTTGTTCTAAATGAATCACACACACACAGAAACACACGATTTCACCACTTTCAACTATGGCACTTTTAAAAATTTCACATTTTTTTTTCTTGAATTTTTTTTTGTGAAAATTTTTTCAAATCATTTGTCAATGATTTTCTTTTTTAAAGAACAGGTGTTCTTGCCATGTGATGATTTCAGCGGGAATTTTTCAGCTCTGACCCATCAACCATAGAGTGAACCATGACACTGTTTCATATATAAATATATATATATATACACTTAAGATGACTGAAAGTTTGCTTCTGCGTTCTCTGTGGTCAGCCCCTGATTCACTATCGCTCTTTTCCGTTTGCATTTCTGCGGCATGCGTTTAAACAAAATTTTATTTACTAAATAAGTGGAAAAATAATAAGAAAATTTATTTACCATTAAATTTTTTCTTTTTAGGAGAATTTAATTTTATTAATTTAAATTTTCTTTTATTAAATAAGAAAAACTTTTGTCAAATTATACTAACTGGAAAATATGTTGAAAAATAATTTTTTTTTTTTTTGAAAGAATGTTTTCCTGGAAAAAGGAAAAAAAATTTTAAAACCAACTTAAATAATTTCCCTCTCATTTATTTCATTAACTACTATTTTTTTAAGTAAAAAATACGTTTTTCAAATCATACTAACTGGGAAATATACTAAAAAATTTTGATGAAAGTAGGTATTATATAAAAATATTTGAAATTTTATGAAAATAAAAAAAATTTAATTAAAAAAAAAAAAAGAAATTTTAAATTTGCAACTGTAAATAATTTTCCGATAGAAATAATAACTGAAGGTCAATTATAAAATATATATGATTTATAGAGACAATGAAAACGATGACAAAGACTTATGGAAAATATATAATAATTATTAAGAAGAATTGTGAAATCATTTATTATAATTTTATATGATTTGCATATTTCCCAGAGTTCTTAACATAGTTAACATAATTATTATTCTTTTAATACAGTATTTTAGAAAATTTATTTAAATTTCGATATTTTGCATTTTTTATTTTATGAAAATTATTATTTATTATTTCAATTATTACTTTTATTGAATAAAATTTTTGGTTTCCTAAACATTATTTTTCGTCAAACAAAATTTTAGAATCTTCATCAACGAAATATTGAAGGAAAAGTGAGTTCATTATAATTAAATTCTTTTTATCATATATTTTGGGATAAAATGATTTTTTTTTTTTGCAAATTTTATGAATATAAATAACTTATTGTTCGTTTTTGTTCCTGAACTAAATTTAATAGATTAGAAATCATTATCAAGATGAAGATAAGTATGAAAATTGAAGGTCTCAAAATAATTTTGAGTAACTGCAAATGACAAATACATTACCAGTCAACTATCTAGTCATTAGTACTTACTGAAGTAAATTAATTAATATTTAAAAAAAAAATTACTATATACCTGTAACCGATCAAAATTTATATGTTAATAAAAAAAAATAAGTGAAATTAAAATTCGTCAGAATATACTTAATTAAAACTTAATTAACACTTAAAGTTAATTTTTTCAAAATACAAAATTACATATTGTAAACATTAAAAAAATTGTCCTAATCAATTAAATCTACTTATTCAATTGAAAATTAGATAAAAAAAAATCGTGTGTTCTGACCAAGAACTGTCACATTTTATATTATGTTATAAAAACCAGTTTCACTGGCTTATGGTTATTCATTGATTTATGGGAACACTCTCAATAAATTTATATTTAAACATGCAGTACATTTTCTACATACGCAAATAATTTATTTTGTTAAAATTATTGTAAATTATTTAAATTTAAAAATTAATTTTCGAAAAAAAGAACAAAATTTTGAGTAAAAAAAGAACAATGGATTTTCCAAAAAGTGATTCAAAAATTAAAGTTCAAAATACAAATATTCATTCTTATTTGAAGTATGCAGCTGCTACTAGTGGTAAGTAAACAAAATTATTATCATGAAAAGCAAGTGAATTAAAAAAAAAAATTCTTTTAATTTTTTCTTTAAAAATAAAATTTTTTTCACAATATTGTATATTTAATTACAAAAAAAAATCAAGAATAATTTTTTAATTGCTTTTACATTACATAAATTGAATTTTGCGAATTTTTAATTTACTTCATCGAAATCATTTTATAATTAATATTGAAAATTGTCTTTTTAGTTTTTCAAAAAAACCCTTTTTTTCGTTGATTAACACTGGAAGAATAATGTATTAATTATTACCAAATAAATATTTAGTAATTAATATTGAAAATTGTCTTTTTAGTTTTTCAATAAAATCTTTTTTTTCGTTGATTAACACTGGAAGAATAATGTATTATTTATTACCAAATAAATATTTAGTAATTAATATTGAAAATTGTCTTTTTAGTTTTTCAAAGAAACCCTTTTTTTCGTTGATTAACACTCGAAGAATAATGTATTAATTATTACCAAATGAATATTTAGTAAGTAATATTGAAAATTGTCTTTTCAGTTTTTCAAAAAAACCCTTTTTTTCGTTGATTAACACTGGAATAATAATGTATTAATAATTATTTAATAACAAATTAATATTTACTGATAATTATTCAAGTAACCGATTATTAAAATAAATTTATTTTCACTGTACAAAATAAAAAGTGTAATATGTTCAAAAATTTATTATTTATAATTTATTAATTATTCATTATTTTTAAAAAAATAGTTTTAATTTTAAAAAGTTAAAAAAAACAACTAAAAGAAAAAAATTTTACAGTGTCAATAACAACAATGGGATTGGGAATGATTTTCTCCTGGACGTCACCATCGCTACCTCATCTGACAAGTTCAGCGTCCACTTACCCAGTGTCAGAAATTCAAGGAGCATTGATAGCATCAATAGTTGGTTGTGGAACAATTTCTGGATTTTTAATTAATCCCATTTTAATAAATAAATTGGGATCAAAACGTACACTATTATTTTTATCAGCACCTGAAATTTTATCATGGTGTATAATTTATTTTTGTAGAAATTGGCTTCTTCTTTGTTTGGCAAGAATTATTGGTGGATTTGGATATGGTGCCGGTTTATGTTCAACTGCTATTTATCTCTCGGAAATTGGTGACAAAAGAACGAGAGGAATTTTTCTCACCCTCATTAAAATGTCAATTAATATTGGAATTTTTATTTCAATGTTTCTTGGCGCTTTTTTGTCATACAATACAATGAATTTGGTTTTAATGACAATACCAATTGTCTTTGTTGTCACGTTTTATTCAATGCCTGACGTGAAAGAATTTAAGGATGAAAATGATTTTACAAAAATGAAGGATGATTTTAAGGAATGTGAAAATAGTTCTAGGGGGAATTTAAAAAAAATTTGTAACCCAAAAAAAGATTTAGCAGATTTTGGTCAAAGTCGAAATGGTTTAAAGAAACATCCAAATGGTTTTAAAGAAAATACAGATGGTTCCAAGAATAATTCGAAAGAATTTCACGAACTTTCCGTAGAATTAAAGAATGATTCGAATGGTTTTAAAAAATTTGATAGTAGGGAAAATCATCAAAATAATTTTACAGAAATAGATAACGAGGCTAATGCATCTGGATGTAAAAGTTCCAATGTTCTAAAAACTACAAATTCTACAGAGGACGTAAATACACCCAATGAAATTTTACAAGAAATCAAAAACAAGGACAATAAAGTCATGGATGTTGTTAAGGAGGATACTGTGATTGTTCTACAAAACAATACAATAGTTCTTGTCAATGATGATACAGTGGACGTCATCGAATCGAGGACAATTGATTTCCTCAATGAAAATATAAGCTGTCTTAATGAAAATTTACCAACAAATTTCGAATACACCCAAATGTCTCCAAAGGAAAAAAGAAACGAAGATGCAGCAACAGAGAATGGATCTAAAATTGAAACATTTGAAGAGGAAATATTACACTTACTGGACTCATCATCATCATCATCATCAAAAAGAAAATCATCGAAAAATATTTGGTGGAAGCTTTTCTTTCTCAAAAACAATAGAAATGCTTTGTTAATCATCATTGTTGCTTCCTTAACCGATATATTTTCAGGACACATGGCAATCGTTACCTATACACAACAAATTTTTCAATACAGTGGCGCATCTCTAAAACCAGAATATGCAGCCCTAATTCTAGCAGTTTTAAAAATAATTGCATCTTTAATTTCTACTATAGTGGTTGAAAATGTTGGTAGACGAAATTTATTTCTCACAACTGGTATTTTAGCTGGTCTATCACAAGGATTGGTGGGATTATTTTTCTTTTTAAAATTCTATCTAAAAATGGAAATCCCTAAAATTAGTTGGTTACCACTTTTGGGTGTATCAATGTACGAAGTTATTGGCAGTGTTGGACTAAGTAGTCTCTACTATGTCTATCAAGGTGAACTCTTTTCAGATGAGGTGAAAGGTTTAGGTGTCACATTAACAAACATTTCCTACGAAGTTATAACATTTTTTATAAAATTATATTTTCAAATTGTCATCGACACTATTGGAATTTATTCCGTTTTCTTTGGATTTGGAATCTGTTGTATTATTGGATCATGTTTAGTCTTTTGGATATCACCTGAAACAAAAGGTAAGAGCAAGGAGGAAATTCAAATTCTGTTGTCCAGTTAATATCAATTATAAATTCCAAAGTGGATCTCAAATTGTACTAATTTAAATTCTTTAATATAAATATTACAATTAAAAATTAAAATATTGTATCTAAAAATTAAAAATTTCAATTTTACTTCCTATAAAATCGGAGTCAAAAATCAAATTTTTTTTTTTTTATTAAAGTGTAAAGTGTAAGTGTCGGGACAATGAATTCTCTGTAATTCAAAATAATAGAAAAAAACTGGTTTTTCTATATAATATTTACATTAGTAATAATACTGTAATTATCGGTGCAATTTGACTTTGTAATTATTTATATAAGAAGAAGAGGAAGCCTTACCAACTTGCGCAAAGGCTAAAAACAACTCTTGAATAGTTGTATTGGCAACCATTCAACGTTCGTAAACTGCATACGACACTTGATAAGGTTTGTCGACACATGACATACTTCAATAAAAATTGAAATCCCATGCAATATAAATTTTACAATTTCCTCAATAATCATGTTCAGTCTTCCTTTAATTAAATACAATGTCTGACATATGCTACAGAAAACGCTAAAAAGAAAAAAAAAATTCTCAAATCATGGATTTCATAAATGTTATAAATTATCAAAAAAATAATCCATTTCGTTTTAAAGTCAAAAATCGAAAAAATAGCGTTAATATTAATTTGTGTTACAAGTATGCTGCTGCTATCAGCGGTGAGTATTTTTATTTATATATTTTTTTCTCTCCCCGTAGTTATAGATTAGAATGATAAAATTTATATTCCAGTGATTATTTTGTTAAAATTTTTTATTTATTTTCTATATTTTAGAAATATTTTAAAAATAATTCTATATTTTAGAAATATTCTAAAAATAATTCTATATTGTAGAAATTAAAAAAGAAATTACAAAAGTAATCGAAAATTGTTTATAATTAATAAATTGTCTTTTCCATTTTTCAAAGAAAAACCCTTTTTCTGCTTTTTTAACTTTTAGACTGCTGGAAAGCCATTGTAGTGATTTTAACGTTTAGCAACAAAGTTTTTTAAATCTAAATCTTAAAAATTTGGGAAAATTTTCTATATTAATTTTTATTCTTTTTTGCCAGCAGTTTAAAGATTAAAATTATCAAAATGTCTTTTCAATTTTTCAAAGAAAACCTTTTTTCGTATTTTAAAATTATCAAAATTATTTAGTCTTTTTTGAAAATTATTTTTTTCTGTACGTTCATCTTCGATTTCTGCATTTCCTCTTGATGTGAGCAAAAAAATTGAAAATTTTTACAGCATCCACAACAGTAGCCGGATACGGAATGATAATATCCTGGACGTCACCAGCCTTACCACATTTGTTGAGTACTAAATCAACATTTCCAGTAACTGAGATGCAAGGTTCATGGGTAGCCTCTCTTCTTAGTTTTGGAATAATAATCGGTTACATACTCAATCCTTTTCTAATCGACACAATTGGATCAAAAAGAACACTTCTATTTCTAGCTGTACCACAAATAATATCCTGTCTTTTAATTTACTTTGGACAAAATTGGATTGTACTTTGTGTGGCAAGAATTATCGGTGGCATTGGCTATGGCGGTGGTTTATGTTCAACGGCAATTTATGTCTCACAAATTGGCGATGAAAATAATCGTGGATTTTTTTTGACATTTGTCAAAATGTTCTTTAATATCGGTGTATTTGTTACTATGATTTTTGGTGCATTTCTTCAATATAATATTATGAATCTTGCTATATTGGGAATTCCTCTATTTTTTGTGATAACATTTTTTTTTATGCCCAACACTGATCAATTTTGTGAGAAAGGCGAATATGTACAGGAAAAATTAACGGACAATGATAATAATGAAGGACAAATTGATGCTTTTAAAATACACAATTGTTTTGATGGAAATTTAAAAGATTCTACTGTTGCTAAAAATTTAAATGACATTAAAAATAGTGCTGAAAATTCTAAAAGTATTAAAAATATAACAAATGGAGATAAAAACAAAGAAATTCCTCATCATGTGCTTTTAAATGCAAATGACATTCTTAAAATTTCAATGAATAATGAAAACAATGAGAATACAAATCAAAATTCCACAAATAAAATTAAATCAAAATCACAAAAAAATAATTGGTACAAATTATTTGTTCAAAAAAATAATCGAAGAGCTCTGATAATAATTGTAAGTGCTTCATTAACGGAAATATTATCAGGACACATGGCAATAGTTTCTTTTGCACAACAAATTTTTGAATACAGTAGCGGATTTTTAAGAGCTGAATATGCAGCCTTAATACTGTCGGGTCTCAAAATTGGTGCATCATTTTTTTCAACGCTTGTTGTAGAAAAATTTGAAAGAAGACATATATTTTTGATAACGGGACTTTTGGCAAGTTTATCACAAGCATCAGTTGGTGTATTCTTTTTTTTAAAATTATACATGAATATGGATGTTTCTTCAATAACATGGTTACCACTTGTTGGTGTATCAGCCTATGAGGTTGTTGGTAGCATTGGAATGAGTAGTTTATATTATGTCTATCAGGGTGAATTATTTGCCAATGAAATAAAAGGTCAAGGTGTTACATGTACAAATATTACATATGAGATTATTACATTTTTGGTGAAATTAAATTTTCAATTAATTATCGACGCCGTTGGTATTTATTCAGTATTTTGGGCATTTAGTTGTTGTTGTGCTATTGGATCGTGTGTTACTTATTGGATAACACCTGAAACAAAAGGCAAGAGCAGAAGAGAGATTCAAAAATTATTAGGAGATAAGTCGGAAAATTTTTAAATTGAAATTTTTACGTTTTTTTTAAGCTTTTAATATTTGGCATTTATTTTTGGTTATTTTTTTTTTTAATTTACTCCAATTTTTATTATTTTATGGATTTTTATCTAAAATATTTTTTTTCGTTTATGCAAATTTTTTAATTTTGTATTTTTTTTTTTAATGCTCCTTTCTCTCGTAGTATAAATTTTTTCTTTCCTGTTATTAAATTTGTTATTTAATATTTGTTTTGTTGAATTTTACGTTACTCTTATCAGTATTTTAAGTTACTTGTATGTCAATTTAATTGTTGTGTATGTACATTTAATAGAATATAGAAAAAAAGTGAAATTTTTTTTTAGCTGCTTTAATTATTTTTTTATTTATTAAATTCTTTTATGAAATACGTCAAATTATTGTCAGATATATATATATATATATAAATTATTTGTATCCGGATAAACGACATTGACAAGTAATAATTTTGTCATTTATTGCATACTTTTAATATATAGAATCTTTTAATTATTCTATTTTTTTTAACTTGATTTTATGGAAACGAATCAATTAAATTTTTAATAACTCTCAGGAAACAATAATTCAAGCTGTTTTTTTTTATTATTTTTAATTTCCATTTTTTTATTTATGACGTATATCAAAAATGCTTTCAACTTTTAATTTTTGATGTTATTATTGTTATTATAATTATTTTTAGTTGGTAAAAAAAAAAAAATAATAATAATAATAATAATAATAAATAGTAAAAATTATTATTATTATTATTATTATTATTATAGTATTATTATTATTATTATTATTAGCATTCTTATTATAGTATTATTGTTATTATTATTATTATTATAATTATTATTATTGTCTACCTAGTAATTAATTTTTCAAAAGAAAGAAATTAATATATACTTTAAGGTTATGTTAGACTTCCTTTCACTTTAATGTATGACCAATAGTACCAACCATATAAAAAAATAAAACTATAAGAACAAAAACGAACTCAAATTATGGCGCCAAATTTAAAAAAGAGTAAAGAAACAAATTTTATTTAAAAATATAATTAAATTAATTTTTTTAAAATATTACTTAAAAAAAAATAATAATAAAATTGAAAATTTAGTAAAAATCGATTGCAACAGAAATTCCAATAAAATGTATTAAGAAAAAAAAAACAATAATACAACAGGGGAAAAAAAGAGAGTGAAATATTTACAAACACGAGTTGTAGATTCTTTTTTTTTTATCACCAGAATGTAAATAAAAATCAATTTTTCAATGATTTGACATTTTTTTAATACGTCTTCTAAATCCTAGATGACTGTGTATATTTTTTCAAAAGATGATTAAAGAATTTTTGTTTTCATTTCATTTTTCAAAGAGGTCAATTAATAAAAATGTTAATTGATTTTTTTTTTTTATTTGTTTAACAATATGTGAAACTTGAAAATATATATTATTTTATTATCTTAGAAAAATTTGTTGTGTAACATTTCTCTTCCGTATTAATTTTGTTTTATCAAGATCGTCAAAGAAAAATTTCCCTCATTTTGTAATATACAAGTGAATTGACGAGGGTAAACATTTTAACATAGATAACAAATGTTTCTGACAAATAAGATAAAGATGACGTTGACAAAAATTGGTTCATCTTCGCGCACTTAAAAAAAAAAAAATGTTACGAGAAAAATTACTACTGTTCATTTTTGTCGAAATTGCATTCAAGAATCATGAGTTCGAACAAAAAACAGGGGTCCTCTTTAATTCAATACACGGCTGCAATTACAGGTGAATTTTTAAATTTATAAACAAATATTTTTTTTAAAATTAATTTTAGTTGAAATTAATTTATTTAAATAATAATTTTATTTTTACTTTAAACGCTTTTTGATAAAATTAGTAAAATTTAATTAATAAAATTAATTTACAAAAAATATTTACAAAAAAGGGAAAAATTTAAATATAATTAAATAAAATTGTCTTTTGAGGTTTTCGAAAATTCTTTTTTCTTCGTTGATTAATGCTAGAAGAATAATAAATATTATTAAATAAGCAAAAATTGTCTTTTCTGGTTTTCAATAACAATTTTTTTTTTGCTTCGTTGATTTAGATGAAATTTTTTTTTTTAATTTCAAAAGTAATTTTTTGATTTTAGAAATTTTTAAAAAATTTTAAATTCACAATTTAAAAATAAATAATTTTTCTAGGTTCCCTAACGGCTTTAGGTTATGGTCTCAATCTATCATGGACATCGCCTGTTATTCCCTATTTGACGAGTAAAAAATCTCACATGCCAGTGCCAAAGGAACAAAGTGACATTATATCATCGATATTTACAATTGGCCTAATTTTGGGATATCTTGTAAATCCAATAATAATTGATCGTGTCAGTCGTAAAAAAACCCTATTAATTTATACAATACCACAAATTTCATCGTGGTTATTAATAATTTTTGTGAAAAAATTCAGTGCCCTATTAATTGGACGAATTCTCACTGGATTTGGTTATGGTGGTGCAATATGTGCACTCACTGTTTATCTTTCAGAAATTGGAAATATAAAAAATCGTGGCATATTTCTCGTTATGATACCAGTATTTTTAAATCTTGGTTTTTTATTTGTCATGATATTGGGAGCATTTTCAACATTTAATATTCTCAATTTTGTAATGCTTCTAGTGCCAACAATCTTTTGCGTCACATTTGTCTTTATGCCAGATTCATCATATTTTCGTGAGAAAAATGAAAATGATAAAATGATGAAATTAATGAATACACGAGAATTGAATGATAATGATGATAATTTGGCAAAATGTGAGAAATTAAATTTAGAATATTCTCGAATTGATGAGAAGAAATATATTGAGAAAAAGGAGGAGGAAGAAGAGGAGGAGGGAAATTTTTATGAGAGAAATTTTAAATTAAATGAAATGAGAATTTATAAATTAATAGCAAATAAAAATAATCGAAAGGCATTATTGATTGTTATTATTTTAGCGGCAACAATGACATTTTCTGGATCGGTTATTGTTATGTTTTATACACAACAATTATTGTCCTATAGTGGATTTTCAATGAAAGCTGAAGAATGTACAATTATTTTAGCGGGAATAACAATAATTGCATGTCTATTAAGTATTCCTCTTGTTGAAAGAATAAGAAGAAAAATAATTCTTCTCTATTCGGGAATATTGGCAAGTATTGCTATGACATTTGTGGGAATATTTTTTATGTTGGAATATCAAAATTTTGATATTTCACAATTGAGATGGATGCCACTATTTGGATTGACAATTTATCAATTTACAAATGCATTTGGTTTTTTGAATTTATTTTATAATTTTCAATGTGAATTATTTACGCCCGATGTGAAAAGTCAAGCGGTGACAGTGTCAAAAATTATTATAACATTTTTCATGTTTTTAGCATTGGTTAGATTTCAACAATTGGTCGATATATTGGGATTGCATGTAATTTTTTTTGTATTTGCAATAATTGTGGCATTAGGGACATATTTGATTTTTAAAATTGCACCTGAAACACAGGGAAAAAGTATTGAGGAAATACAATTGATGTTGAAATCACGAAAGTTTTTTATATAAAAAAAGAAGGCATCATTTTTTTATTTGGAATTTTAGCCATAGAAAAAAAAATTAATATTTGTTAATAATAATTTAATATTATTTAATTTATTTTGTAATTGTAATTTTTTAAGTTACTCAACGTTTTATTTATGTACTCAATATGAATAAGTTACTTTTATAGGTTATGTGAAAATAGGTGGCAATTTTTTTTTTTTTTATAACCCTACGCTGTGTACATTTTTAAAACATATTTTTAATAAAAAGATCTGACATTTAGGATGTAAAAAAATAAAATATTGTTTCAAATTTTGGTTTGACAGAAATCATTATGGGTCACAAAAAACCAAAATACTAAATTAAAAAAAGAAAATTTTTGTCTTTTCAATTTTTCAAAGAAAAACCCTTTTTTGCACTTTCCTCTTCCACTTCTGCTTATACAATCTTTGGATATCAAATTTATAAAAAAAATTAAAAAAAAGATTTAATTTGTACTTTATTTTATAATTGTATTTTTGTAAAGTTACTCTACGTTATTAGTCACGTACTTTTTTATTTTTCATTTTTTAGGTTATAAATTACAATGTGACACAAGCAGGTGTAGCAATCGAATAAAAAAAAATTTTAAGTGAAACAGCGCCACAAAATAATGGCGCGAATATTTAAAAAAAAAACAAAATATTTTTAGGTGATTATTTCAAAAACAGTAAAATAAATATGATAAACTTAATTAAAATACTAAAATAAAAATATATTAATTAAAATATTAAAATTAAAAAAATTTATAAATAAAAATATTAAAAATTAAATATTAAAAAAAGAAACAATAATAAAAAATGAAGTAATTAAAAGAAAATATTTTTAAAATTCATTGAGAAATAAAATGATGAAATATTATAGAAAAACGAAGTAATTAAAACAAAACAGTGTAATCTCAATTGTAAAAAGTGGACGTTCTTACTGATACAACGTTATTCATTGAACTTGAAAAAACATTAGCTAATTGTTTCTAGTCAAATTTCAATAGATTTAAACTAATTATGATACAGATTAGGGATTTCCAAACCTCATTTAATTTTCAGATAAGAAAACTAATATTTCTGATAATTTGTACCAGAAAAAGAAAAAAATTAGAATTAGTTTTACTCATTTCTAAATATTGAATAGTGTGAAATGAAGTTTTCTTTTCGAATATTGTCATTAAAAAATTATTTTATGAAGTTGTCTTTTTATTTTTAAAGAAAAATTAAAATAATTTTAAAAGTAATTAAACAAACAATGAAAATTATTTAAAAAATAATTAAACAAACAATGAAAATTATTTAAAAAATTAAATAAAAAATTTTTGAAAATTTGTTTACTAATAAAAAAAAAATAGAAAATGAAAGGTGATACCAGAACGGAATTATTATTACGATATGGATCAGCATTTGTTGCAGGTAAATTTGGAAAAAATGAATTATTTTTTAAATAAACTAAGTGGTAAATAAAAAATTTTTGAAATGTTACATAAATATTGTTATTTTAATTGTTATTAATTTTTCTTTAATTACTTTTTTTACATAGGAAAAAAAGAATTTCTCTTTTATTATATAAACAATGAAATTTTTTTTTTATTTGTTATAGTTACAACAAAATTTTTTTTTAATGTTTTAAAAAGCAATTAGAAAAAAAATATGAATTTGAAAACATTGTTTTAATTAATTAAAGTTTGTTTTTAAATTTGTATCACATTTTTTCTTTAAAAGTAACTTAGTGACTGAAAAAAGGGACAAGAAGCAAAAAAAATTTTAGTTTTAAAATGAAAAAAAAAAACTAATTTTTTTTATTTTACATAAATAAAAAGGAACTTTTAATCAAGGTAAAACTGTAAACATAACCTATAATTCGTTTGCTTCTTAGGTCTCTTTCTACAGTGCGCACTAGAGTTGTATGATGTTTACGCATGCGCAGTAGCATTGTACGATATTTACACATGCGCAGTAGTGTTGTACGATATTTACACATGCGCAGTAACATTGTACGATATTTACACATGCGCAGTAGTGTTGTACGATATTTACACATGCGCAGTAGTGTTGTACGATACTTACGCATGCGCAGTAGTGTTATACGACACTTACACATGCGCAGTAGCGTCATACAACCCAAATGCATGCGCATTAATGTATTACCTTATTTATTCACATAAAATAAAGTAATTTTTCATGTAAAATCATATAAAAATTATTAAAAAATAAAAATTTCAGCAATATTCACAGCAGCGGGAATGGGATGTATCATTGGTTGGTCATCGCCAGCATTGGAATATCTAGAAAGTTCCGAATCACATTTAAATTTAACTGAACATGAAAAATCATGGATTACACCATTACTACCTGCTGGACAAATTGTTGGCTATCTAATAGTACCATTTGTACATAAATTAATAAATGAAAAATGGACACTCTTATTATTTTCAATACCACAATTAATATCGTGGTTCTTGATTGTAATATCAAAAAATTCATATTACATTAATGTCGCTAGAATTGCCGGTGGTATAGGTTATGCTGGTGGACTTTGTGCATTAACAATGTATCTCACTGAAATTTCATCACAACACAATCGTGGTATTTTTCTTGCATTTATTCAATTTTTTCACAATGTTGGTTTTTTATTTATCATTTTATTTGATATTTATTTTCACTATTACTATATGAATATTATTATTATTGGAACAATGTCGTGTTTTGTGTTTGTTTTTATTTTTATGCCTGATTCTTCGTATTTTAAAAAGGAGGTGGAAGAGAATTTAAGGGGTGAAGAAATGATGGAATTAAATGGAAAATCGAAGAGAATTGAAGTTATTGAAGATGGTGAAGTTAAAGAGAAATTACTTTTGGAATTTAAGAGGAGAATTGAAATCAAGGGAAAGGGAGAATTTGATGAAATTGAAGATATTGAATTAAATGAAGATAAAAAAGAAGATTTAGTGAAGAAAGAACAAAAAGAAGAAATGGAAGAAAGTAAAATTCAACAAGAAAATGAAAATAGTTTTAAAATTGAAAAAGAAATTAATCACAAAAATGAAGAAATAAATAATCGAAACAAATCAATGAAAGAAATAAAAAATGAGAAAAAAATAAAAAAAGAAATAAAAATAATGGAAAATAATAAAAGGGTAGAAAAATTTAATAATAATTTTAAAAAAAATTCTCTTATTTCAAAAATGAAAAATTCAAATTTTTGGAAATTATTTACAATACCAACATATCGTAATGCAATGTTAATTGTAATTTGTGTCACTGCACAGGAACATTTTGCAGGCGCTTCAGTTATTAAAGTATTTACGCAACAAATTTTTAAATATACAAAATCATCAATGTCAACTGAAATGGAGAGTTTATTATTGGGAATTGTTAAATTAATTGCCTCAATGATAAGTATTCATATAATTGAAAAATATCAAAGAAAATCAATTTTACTTTATACGGGTCTATTTGGTACACTTGGTTTAATAATTGCGGGAATTTATTTTTTTTTTGAATCAACAAAATTAATTGATGTCACATCATTTTCATGGTTATCAATATTTGGAATTTTATTTTATGATTTTAATTTTACAATTGGAATATCAAATTTTTTATATATTTATCTTGGTGAATTATTTGTGGGTGAAATTAAAAGTGTCGCCATTACTGTGTGTAAAGTGATTTGTTTAATTTTTATTTTTATCAATATTTTACTATATCAAGAATTAAATAAATTTTTGGGTATTCATATTATTTTTGGTATTTATGCGATAAATTCAATTTTATTGCTTTCGATATTAATGAAAATTACACCGGAAACAAAAGGAAGAAGTTTAAATGAAATTCAAAATATGTTGAAAAACAAAAAATTGTTTTAGTATCAAATTAATAAAAATAAGTATTATTAAAAAAATTATTATTATTATTATTTTTTTTTTTATTATAAAAAATAAATTTGACAAAATTTCAATTAATTTTATCTAAATATATTTATTAATTATTTATAACACTATAGGTATTTGTAATTTACAATTAAAAAAAAAAAATTAAAATAAAAAAAAATTTATTTATTCTAAATTAGAAAACGTGTTTTTTGTACGTTAAATTATTTTCCAATGTCTATGTAATAGTTTCTTGCCTTTGATATGAATGAAAAAAAAAATCCTTCTTTTAAATTCAATTACCATTCTTCTTAGACTTCTTAGAATTTTATTTTTGGATCTTTCGCGTAATATATTGAACCTATAATTTTTTTTTTGGACAAATATATTTCGTCATCCCAGTCGTCCTAACGAATTAAAATTTGACTGACGTTTTACGATTAAAACAAATAAAATGAGATAAGAGAAAAACGGAGAATTCTACGTAACAAAATTCGTGATTAAAAATTATTTCTCCTCAGTCGATGTAAATGTTTCCATGACATAAATTTTCATTTATATATCTCAATTACAAAAAAAGAAACAAAAAAAAATTTTTTTTTTGCTATTTGTAAAAAAAAACAAATTCGCATTGTCTGTTAATAATAAATAATTTAATTATAATTCTAATAAAAAAATAACATTTTAGAATTGAATGTAAATATTTATTTAGGGCCGATATATTTTTTTAAATGTAAAAAATTGAATATAATTTTTGCTTTTTTGAAATTAATTGAAAATAAATATTTGAAAGTATTTATAAATTATGTTTAAGAAAAAAAAATTGAAATATTAGTTGGCAAAAGATAACAATTTTTTTTTGAGACTAATATTTATGTGAAAATTTCTGATGAAGATAAAAATTTTCATTTTTCTAAGCATAATTTGATAGCGAATTTCAACAAGATTTATAAAAAAAAAAGGAAAAAAAAAAAGAAAAAAATGCCAAGAAAGGATAAAACTGGATTTTTGATACAATACATTGTTGCTATTGTGGGTAAGAAAATTTAATTTTTCTATTTTTATACTAATTTTCTAAAAACCCTTTTAAAACGGTTTAAATATTTTTTATTTTTAATAAAATATAATTTTTAAAAATATTTTTTATTTTCAATAAAATATAATTTAAAAAATTTTTTTTTATTAAAAATAAAAAATTTTATAAACAGACCTCGGATCGACTTTAAGGCACAAAAAAAGATATGGATTTAAATTAGAAAAAATCTCAAAAAAATTGATTTTTAAAATTTTAATTTTATAATTTAATAAATATTTTTTATATTTCTATTAAAAATTAATATTAAATATTAAAAATTTCTTTTTTTAATAATTCTTTAATAATTATTGAAAATTATGAATTTGGCAAACAATTTTAAATAATTTAAAAAATAATTTAGTTTTGCAATAGTTACATTGTATTTTAAAAATTTTGGAAAAAATTTAATTTCAAGAGATTTTAAATTGAAATTTTTGTAAAATTAAAAGATTTTTTTCTACAAATTACAGAAAATAATTAAAAATATTGGAAAAAAATTTTAAATAAAAAATTGAAATTAAAAAAATTGAAATTAAAAAAAAAATTAAAAAATATTTTAAATAATTGAATTTTAGAAAAAATTAAAAAAATTCATTGAAAATAAATAATTTAGCAAAGAATTGTAAATAGAAATTTTAAAAATAATTGAATTTTCGAAGGGAATTGAAAATTTTTTTTCCTAAATTTGAATTGATGAAGATTTTTTTTTTTAAAAGAATTTTTTTTTAAATTTCCATTGCTAAAGATTTATTTAAAAAAAAATGTAGGCAATAGTTGAATTTTAGAAAATTTTCAATTGAGAAATATTTTAAATAATTCAATTTCTAAAAAAGTTTTCTTAATATAATTGAAAATAGTTAATAATTAATTTTGCAAACTTTTAGGATTCAAATTTTTAAAATAATTAAATTTTGAAAGAGCAATAGTTTATACTAAAAAAAAAAATTTCTAGATATTTTGTTATTAATTTAATAAATTAATTAAAATTTTACTTCTATTTTTAATTGAATTAATTTTTAATAAACTTTTCATAAATCTTTAATAAATTTTTAATTAATTTTTAATTAATTTTTTAGCTTATATTTAATTTAATTATATAATTATTAATTAATTAATTTATATTTTTTAATTTTATTTCATAAAATATAAAAGTTGTTAAATATAGTGATTATTGATTTAAAAAAAAAAATGTAAAACAGAATTCAAAATTTCGCGCGCGATTATTTCTTCATTACCGACTGAACATAGAATGGAAAGTCAGCTAAAAAAAACAAAATCCCAAATATACGAATTACATATTCATTCAAAAAAGGTGCCTGATAAAAGTTATAAATTAGAAAAATTAATAAAAAGTATTATTTAAAAAAAATAGATTAAAAAAAGGTTTTAAAATCCAAGGCCTGAAAAAAAATTGAAAAAAATTTTTTTTTTAATTAAAAATCCAATAATTTTTTCTAATTAAATTTTTTTTCAGCTTCAATCACATCCGCCGGATATGGATCAGTAATGTCCTGGACATCGCCATCATTACCATTTTTAAAATCGGGAAAATCAAATTTATCAGTGAACAATGATGAAATCGCATGGATTGCACCATTATTACCAATAGGAATAATAATTGGTAATTTTTTAAATCCAATATTTATCGATCGTCTTGGTAGAAAATGGACACTATTATTATTTGCCATACCACAAATAATATCGTGGCTATTAATATTATTGGCTAAAAATACAAAAATTATTTGTATTGGACGAATTTTCGGCGGTATTGGCTATGGTGGTGGTATTTGTGCAACAATTGTTTATCTATCGGAAATTGGTAATTGTAAAAATCGTGGAATTTTTTTAACACTCATTAAAGTATCATCGAGTTTTGGAATTTTTTTCACAATTTTTTTAGGCGCCATTTCACCATATTTCTATATGAATTTATGTTTACTTATAATGCCAATTGTATTTGTTATTTTTTTTCCATTTATGCCCGATTCGTCGTATTTTTTTGCAAAAAATTGCAAAAATGAGGAGAAAAAATTTTATTCTCTCGTACCATTGAATGAGAAAGAAAATAAAAATGATAATGATTGCGAAAAAAAAATAATTGTGAAAGAAAATGAAAATTATAAATTAAATTTTAAAAATGAAAATAAAATTAATGACAACGAAGGAGATGATAAAAAAAATCATATAGAAGAGAAGAAAAATTTCAAACTAGAAAATTATCAAAATAGTGAAAATAAAAATAAAATTTTAAATAAAAAAAATAATTTTCCAAATGATTATCAATTGAATAATGAAATTTTGAAAAATAAAGAAAATGGTTTTTTAAATTTAAAAAATTGCAATTTTTGGCAATTATTATCAATTCGAAGCAATTTACGTGGTTTATTTATTATTTTCACTGTAACAACATTAGATTGTTTTTCCGGACATCCGGTATTAGTTTATTTTTCACAACAAATGTTAACATATGAGGGTTCATTATTGTCACCAAAAAATGGTGCATTAATACATGCAACAGTCAAATTATTGGCATCAATGATAGCAACACAAATAATTGAACGTTTTCAACGTAAAACAATTTTACTTTGCACAAGTATTTTAATAACATTAACGCAAGGAATTTTAACAATTTTTTTCTTTATTAAAGACAATAATTTAATGGACATTTCATTATTGGGATTTCTACCATATTTAGCATTTTTAATTTATGAAACGGCAAGTTCAATTGGTGCGAGTAATTTATTTTATATTTATCAGGGTGAATTTTTTGAAAATCATGTCAAAGGTATGGCGGTGACTGTTTCAAAAATTTATCATATGTTTATGATTTTTCTCACTATTGTCATTTATCAATGTTTAATTGTCAAATTTTCTTCATATGTGATATTTGGTCTTTTTTGCATTTGTTGTGTGATTTTTTCTATTGTTTGTCTTATTATTATTCCTGAGACAAAAGGCAAGAGCCTTGAGGAAATTCAAATTATTTTGAAAAGGAGAAAAGTTTTTCTTTGAAAAAAAAAAAAAAAATTCAATATTTAAGAAACTTTTTAAAAGTAAGAATAAAATAAAAATAAAACAAAAATTTACTTTAATTCTTATAAAAACAAAATTATTTTGTAGCATATTTTTTTAAATAATTCTTTTTTTTTTAATTTTAATTTTATTTTTTTAATTTTTTTTTTTAAATAATTTGTTTTTATTCTAGAAAATCTATTTCTCCTGTGTAGAAGTATAAAAAAATTAATATTCTCCAAAAATTATTTCAAACAGAAAGTTGAAAAAAAATAGAATAATTTTGCAAAAAAAAAAAGAAATCAGAAAACCAAGTTTTAGTAGTTTGCACAGATAAGATTTTAAGAACAAAGTATCATAAAGTATGCGCAAAAATTAAAAATACAAAATAATTTATGGAAATAAAAAATTTATTTCCTTACGAAAAATATTCCAAAAAAAATTTCGTTACGAAAAATATTTCCCAGCAATTTGAAAACAAAAAAAAAATATATATTTTGTTAAAAATTCTCTAAAATTTGGAAAATAATTTATTCTTTTATTTTGTAAAATAATTATAAAAAAAAATATAAACTAGCATTTTTAATTACCCGTACATATATTTATTCATTTTTCATTTTATAATTGTATAATACTTTTGTAATAATAGAAAATAATTATTGTATATTTTAATAAACAAATTTGTATTTTAATAAACAAAAATTGCATTTTCAATAAACAAACCAAAAAAAAAAAAAATGAACTTTTGTATTGAATAAAAAAAAAAAATAAAAACACGATTTTGCATAATTTATATAAATGTGTGTTTATTGTCACATATCACGCAAAGTATGTAAAATTCTTCTTGGAAGAATTTTTTCACGATAAATTTACATCCTTTTATTTTTCCACCCGCAATTGAAATAACTGTCTTCCGATTAAATAAACAGATAAGAATAACGTAAAATGAATCTTAATAGGTTGTCTTTCAAACTTGTCATGTCAGTTTGGATACAACATTGTCTCTCAACTGCAAAATTAATTTCGTTTACAAAATATCCTTAATTAACCGAAAAATCAAAAAAAAAAAAAAAAACCAAAAATAACAAAAAATTAAAACAAATTTTAAAAAAATTAAAAAAGACAAATCCCCAATGACTTACAATAATCAATTAAAATTTTTTTTTTTCAAAATTATTATTACTAATGACTGAACAATATATTAAAAAAAGAACGTTTCTTAAATTGAAATTATGCTAAATTGTTAATAATAATAATAATAATAATAATAATTTAAAAAAAAATTACAGTAATAATAATAGTAATAATAAAAGAATAATAATAACAATTATAATAATAAAAATAATAATAAATAATAATAAATAATAATAAAAATAATTAAAAAAATAATAAAAAATAATAATAACAATAATAATAATAATAATAATAATAATAACAATATTAACAAAAACCGGAAAAGTAAATTTAAAAACAAGAAGAAAAAGAACACGTGTAAGGAAAGAAAAATATGCATCAAAAAGAAAAGAGTCAAGTTTTACTGCAATATGGAGCTGCCATAGTAGGTAATTATAGAAAAATTATAAAATTAATTACCCTAATTATAATAATTAATTTCCTTCTCTAGCTTCTTTTTATTATTTTAATTTTTTTCTTCTTCCTTATTTTTACCCTTAAACAGGGAGAAAAATGAAAAAAAAAAAAACAAAAAAGTAATTTTTACTATACTTTCAAAGTAAATTCTAAATTTTTCCGGAATTTTTAGAAAATTTTGCTCCGGAAATAGTAAATAAATATTATTTTTACAGTAATCTTTACTATTTCAGGAGTATTTTTTTCTATTTTCGAAGACAAAAATTGCCAGACATGCGCAAAAGTTTCGTACAGGTTAAGTTTTTTACTTTTTAAATAAGAAAAACGAATAAAGTAATTTTTACTATACTTCCAAAGTAAATACTAAACTTTGCGGAATTTCTAAGAAATTTTCCTCCGGAAATAGCAAAAAAAAAATACTATTTTTTGCAGCAAATTTTACTATTTATAATAAATAAATAATAATTAAATAATAAAATAAATAAATATTTCTGGAGGAACTTTTTATATTTAAAAAAAAAATTGCCAAACATGAGCAGAAATTTCGTATATGTTAGGTTTTACTTTTTGTAAGTAAGGAAAACAAAAATATAGTAATTTTTACTATACTGTCATAAAGTAAATCCTAAACTATTTTCTAAAACAAAAATTGCTAGACATGCGCAAAAATTTCCTATAGGTTAGGTTTTACTTCTGCTAAATAAGAAAAACAAAAATATATAGTAATTTTTACCATACTGGCAAAGTAAATACTTAAATTAGCGGAATTTCTAAGAAATTTTACAACGGAAATAGCAAAAAAATAATACTATTTTTTGCAGCTAATTTTACTATTTATAATAAATAAATAATTAAATAATTAAATAAATAAATAAATATTTCAGGAGTAAAGAAATTTTGTAAAGGTTAGGTTTTTACTTATTGTAAGTAAAGAAAACAAAGATAAAGTAATTTTTACTATATACTTTCAAAATAATTTCTAAATTTTCTGGAATTTTTAGAAATTTTTCTTCAGGAAATAGTTAAAAATTACTAGTTTCAGTAAATTGTACTATTTCAGGAGTATTTTTTTCTATTTTCGAAGACAAAAATTGCCAGACATGCGCAAAAGTTTCGTAGAGGTTAGATTTTTACTTTTTAAATAAGAAAAACAAGAATATAGTAATTTTTACTATACTGTCATAAAGTAAATCCTAAACTATATTTTCTAAAACAAAAATTGCTAGACATGCGCAAAAATTTCCTATAGGTTAGGTTTTACTTCTGCTAAATAAGAAAAACAAAAATATATAGTAATTTTTACCATACTAACAAAGTAAATCCTAAACTATTCGAAATTTCTAAAAAAAAAATGCTCCGGAACAATAATTTTTTGAAAAAAAAAAAAAAATTATTTTTTTTTCAGCTTCCATTACATCCGCCGGATATGGTTCAATAATGTCCTGGACATCACCAGCTTTAACCTATTTAAAAAGTGATGAATCCGAAATATCCATAACAAAGGAACAAACATTATGGATTGCACCTCTATTACCAATTGGTTTGATAATTGGCAATTTTTTAAATCCAATTTTCATCAATCGTATTGGCCGTAAATGGACACTAATGCTATTTGCCCTACCACAAATTATTTCATGGCTGATTATTTATTGTACAAAAAGTCATAATGCCATTTATTTAGCAAGAATAATGGGTGGTATTGGTTATGGTGGTGGTGTATGTGCTGTGACTGTTTATCTTTCTGAAATTGGTACACCAAAAAATAGAGGAATATTTTTAACAATGGTGAAATTCTCTTTAAGTTTAGGAATATTTTTCACACTACTATTGGGTGCAACATTATCCTATAATTATATGAATCTTGGTCATTTAATGATGCCAATAATATTTCTTTGTCTCTTCTTCTTTTTGCCGGATTCAATTTATTTTTTGGAAAAAAATAAAAATACTTCTTATCTACTTAACGATATCACTGATGTGAACAAAAAAGAAGAATCTAAATTGGAGAATAATGATTTAAAAAATTCTCCAACAAATGATAATAATTTAAAAGAAAATAATCATCACGAAAAGGAAACACTTTTAAATGACAATAAATTGGAAAATAATTGTCAAATAATTTTAAAACAAGAAAATTCTCCACAAGATGATTATTTATTGAAATATCATCAAAATGAAGATAATAATCATCAAAAAGAAATTTTAAAGGAGACTAAAATTTTTCAAAAAAATTCCCTAATAAAAAAATTAAAAGAATCATTATTTTGGAAAATGTTTTCAACATCAAATAATTTAATGGCATTGACAATAATTGTTTGTATTGTGGCACAAGATTCACTTTCTGGTCATATGACGTTAACCTACTTTTCTGAACAAATGTTAAGTTACAATGGTTCAATATTAACGGCAAAACAAGGAGCATTATTTTTATCAGTTATGAAATTAATATCATGTATTATTGCAACACAATTAATTGAAAGATTAAAAAGAAGAACATTGTATTTTTTCACTGGTATATTGGCATCATTATCACAGGGAATGATTGGAATTTTTTTTCTCATGGAAGAACAAAAAATTGATGTATCATCATTTTCATTTATTCCATTTTTAGGTTTAATTGTTTATGAATTTTGTTCATCAATGGGTACTAGTAATTTATTTTATGTTCTACAGGGTGAATTATTTACAAATGATATTAAAGGATTGGCAGTGACATTTGCAAAAAATATGTATATGGTTTTTGGATTTATATCAATTATTATGTATCAAGTTATAATTGAAGCGTTTAGTGCATATGTGTTATTTTTTATTTTTTGTTTTTGTGGAATTATTCTTTGTATTGTCACTGTTACTCTAATGCCCGAAACAAAGGGTAAAAATATCGAAGAAATTCAAATTTTGCTCAAGAAAAAAATATTATGTTGTAAATAAATTAATTTTTTTTAAATAGGAATTTATTTTTTTAAAAAAAAGACTTTAAATAGACTTAAAAATTATTGTATTAAAAATATTTTTCCGTTCTCAAAATTCTGAGGAACTATTAGTTTTAAAAAAAGTGGGAGGAGCTAAAATAATACACGCCCTAGTGGGCGGAGCAATTTCAAGTAGGTCACGCCTCATGGGGAGGAGATAATAAAGTTCCGCCCACTGTGGGAGTAGCTTATAGGAAACCACGCCTATGTTAGTAAAACTATTCCCAAAAAGCCGGAATTATAAAATAATTAAACGCCCTTTTAGTTAAAACACGCCCACTATGGGAGTGGCTTATATGAAACCACGCCCATATTACTAAAGACACTTCCTAAAGGCATGAGTTGTTAAACAATTAAACTCCCTTTCAGTCAAGATACGCCCACTATGGGAGTGGCTTATATAAAACCACGCCCACATTGGTGAAGTTACTCCCTAAAGGCCAGAGTTGTTAAATAATTAAACCCCCTTTTAGTAGAAACACGCCCACTATGGGAGTGGCTTATAGGAAACCACGCCCATATTGTGGAAGTTATTAATAATTAAACGCCCATTCAGTCAAGACACGCCCACTATGGGAGTGGTTTATATAAGACCACGCCCACTTTAGTGAACATACTCCCAAAAGGCCAGAGTTAAATAATTAAACGCCCTTTTAGTAGAAACACGCCCACTATGGGAGTGGCTTATAAGAAACCACGCCCATATTGTGGAAGTTATTAATAATTAAACGCCCTTTCAGTCAAGACACGCCCACTATGGGAGTGGTTTATATGAAATCACGCCCACTTTAGTGAAGATACTCCCAAAAGGCCGGAGTTAAATAATTAAATGCCCTTTTACTTAAAACACGCCCACTGTGGGAGTCACTTTTTGTAAACCACGCCCATATTGGAGAAGTTATTCTTCCTCTATTCTTTCTCGTTGAAATTTAGTTCAGTCTAGTGGGTGGGGTTAAATTCTGACACGCCTAGAAATGGGTACGACTGTTTTAGAAATTAGAAAACCTTGAATAAACGTTCTAGAAATGAATTTGTATTATTTTTTAACGTGTATAAATTTATAATTACAATACAAATAATAATTAGCTACTGTAAAATAAAGAAATTTAAATTTTGTGTAAAGAAACAAGAGATGAATAAAAATTGTTTACATTATAAGAAATAGAAAAAATATATTCTAAACTTAATTATGTTTTTTTTTAATTAATTAATGTTTATCTGCAGATAATTTTTAATTAAATTAATAGAAAGTATTTGAAAAAAAATTTGGTTTAATTAATTTCCAGATTTTCCATTGTTCATTTATTATTGTGAAATCATTAAATAGAATGTAAGACGTGTGGCAAAGATACTAAAAAGCTCATGTCAATCACGACAAACGTTTACTTTGGAATTATCAATGACAATTGTAGAAATCTTAGAATCTATTCTCCTACCACTACTTTCCACTTCTTATTTGGAAAATAAAATTAATTTTCATTCTCTTCAAAATTGAATTTTTTAATTAATTTAATAATCTTTTTTATATGCTATAAATATATAAAAAAAAATGAATGGGAAAAAAAACTAGTGGTAAACAAAATATATATAAATAAATTTAGAAGGAATAACAATAAAAATAGATATACATTAAATGGAAATAAAACTAAAAAATAAATTTAAGATTTAAATTAAAAATTAGCAATTTTTATTGTTGGCCCTTTTTTTTCTTATCAGCCGACCCTAAATAACCACCATTTTTAATGACTTTAATAATCTACAAATATGATTCTCCATTTAAGAATTGTACAGTACGACAAGGTACATAACTTGTAGAAATCAGTTGCACTAGTTTTTTTTTACAATTTTTATTATCATCATCACCATCATCAAAGATTTATTAAACTCAATGATAAGATTCTTATCAAAATTCGTGAAATGCAGTGAAAATCGTATCTTAATTAAATACCACCATTGGAAATAGAATTTTTTTTTCTTTCTCTCTCTCTCTCTCTCTACGATTATAGTTTTGTGTGTTAAATTATAACTTTAATTAAAATCATTTCAGTCAAGGCCCAAAATTTAACGGAAAATTAATTAAAATTTTTATTAAATTAATTAATTTTTTAAATTATTATTATACAATTAATTTAAAAAATTAATTTATATTATATTCAAAAAAAATAAGATAATATTACAATTTTAAAGATTCAAATTTAAAGTTCGGATATTTTTTTAAATTTACAAATATTCGTAAAATTAAATATTTTATGTTTCCGATTTATAAAATAAAATTTCAGTTTTTATTTTAAAAGTTTTTTTTTTATTATTATTTAGTAGAAAATTGTGATTTAGCAAGGATGCCGAAAAAAAAAGATTCAGAATTTATGCGATACGCTGCTGCCGCTGTTGGTGAGTTTTTCAAATAGACACATACAGACACATACAAAAAAAAATTTATTTTTTTTTGGCCTGAAGTACAGACGATAATTTTTTATACGCTTTTTTGTGTAGATGAATCTGAATCTAATGTACGTTTTACCCCATCACCGTTAGAATTTTATTAAAAACTTTAGCTTTTTTTGAATTAAAAAAAAATTGTTATAGTAAATTTGGGTTTTAGAATTAATTTATTAAATATTGCGCATTTAACCCCAATTTTTTTAATCGCAAAAAATCTAAAATTTTTAATAAAAATTTAATAAATATGTTAAAAATTTTAAAGCAATATAAAAGTGGCATGTGTATAAAAAAAAATCCTTCAAAAAAAATTCATTTGTCGAATAATAGTATAAAAGAAATTATCATTTAACAACTCTGAAAATAAAAAAAACTAATAAAATTTAGTTTGATAAAATGGAAGGCATGAAAAAGCTTTAAAATAATTTTTTTTTTAAATTACGATTTTATAGAATCTTATTCTGTAGAATATTACTTTTGCAGAATATTAAAATTATTTAAAAAAAATTAATTTTGCAAAATTTTTCATTAAACCGATTTATGATTTTGAGGTTATGTCAAAATCCTTACATTTTATGAATATATTTGCTACACACAGAAAAAAGATTTCTTTGGTTTAAAGAAACCGCAATTTCTTTGCTTTCTTTTATATTCAAAAAAATAAAATTTTCTTTGAAACAAAAAAAAAGCTTTTTATAGTTTCAAAGCAATTTTCTTTGAATGAAAGAAATTTTTGCATTAAATCAAAGAAATTCTTTATACGATTAAAGAAACATTTATTTGAATTAAAAAAATTTTTTTTTGGCGTGAAGTACAGACGATAATTTTTTATACGCTTTTTTGTGTAGATGAATCTGAATCTAATGTACGTTTTACCCCATCACCGTTAGAATTTTGACATAACCTCAAAAACCATTACCAAAAGAAGCTTTATTATTTTAAAAATTTTTAACATTTATTAAATTTTATTAAAAACTTTAGCTTTTTTTGAATTAAAAAAAAATTGTTATAGTAAATTTGGGTTTTAGAATTAATTTATTAAATATTGTGCATTTAACCCCAATTTTTTTAATCGAAAAAATTATAACATTTTTAATAAAATTTAATAAATATGTTAAAAATTTTAAAGCAATAAAAGTGACATGTGTATAAAAAAATAAATCCTTCAAAAAAAATCCGTTTGTCGAACAATAGTATATAAAAGAAATTATCATTTAACAACTCTGAAAATAAAAAAAACTAATAAAATTTAGTTTGATAAAATGGAACGCATGAAGAAGCTTTAAAACAAATTTTTTTTTTAAATTACGATTTTATAGAATCTTATTCTGTAGAATATTACTTTTGCAGAATATTAAAATTATTTTTAAAAAAATTAATTTTGCAAAATTTTTCATTAAACCGATTTATGATTTTGAGGTTATGTCAAAATCGTTACATTTTATGAATATATTTGCTACACACAGAAAAAAGATTTCTTTGGTTTAAAGAAACCAATTTCTTTGACTATGCTTTTATTCAAAAAAATAAAATTTTTTTTGAAACAAAAAAAAGCTTTTTAGTTTCAAAGCAATTTTCTTTGAATGAAAGAAATTTTTGCATTAAATCAAAGAAATTCTTTATACGATTAAAGAAACATTTATTTGAATTAAATAAATTTTTTTTTGGCCTGAAGTACAGACGATAATTTTTTATTCGTTATTTTTGTGTAGATGAATCCGAATCTAATGTACGTTTTACCCCATCACCGTTAGAATTTTGACATAACCTCAAAAACCATTAACAAGAATTATCAAGAAGCTTTATTATTGCTTTAAAATTTTTAACATTTATTAAATTTTATTATAAACTTTATCTTTTTTTGAATTAAAAAAATTGTTATAGTAAATTTGGGTTTTTGAATTAATTTATTAAATATTGCGCATTTAACCCCAATTTTTTTAATCGAAAAAAATTATAACATTTTTAATAAAATTTAATAAATGTTAAAAATTTTAAAGCAATAAAAGTGGCATGTGTATAAAAAATTAAATCCTTCAAAAAAAATTCTTTTTTCGAATAATAGTATATAAAAGAAATTATCATTTAACAACTCTGAAAATAAAAAAAACTAATAAAATTTAGTTTGATAAAATGGAACGCACGAAGAAGCTTTAAAACAAATTTTTTTTTAAATTACGATTTTATAGAATCTTATTCTGTAGAATATTACTTTTGCAGAATATTAAAATTATTTTTAAAAAAATTAATTTTGCAAAATTTTTTATTAAACCGATTTATAATTTTGAGGTTATCTCAAAATCCTTACATTTTATGAATATATTTTCTACACACAGAAAAAAGATTTCTTTGGTTTAAAGAAACCAATTTCTTTGACTATGCTTTTATTCAAAAAAATAAAATTTTTTTTGAAACAAAAAAAAGCTTTTTAGTTTCAAAGCAATTTTCTTTGAATGAAAGAAATTTTTGCATTAAATCAAAGAAATTCTTTATACGATTAAAGAAACATTTATTTGAATTAAATAAATTTTTTTTTGGCCTGAAGTACAGACGATAATTTTTTATTCGTTATTTTTGTGTAGATGAATCCGAATCTAATGTACGTTTTACCCCATCACCGTTAGAATTTTGACATAACCTCAAAAACCATTAACAAGAATTATCAAGAAGCTTTATTATTGCTTTAAAATTTTTAACATTTATTAAATTTTATTATAAACTTTATCTTTTTTTGAATTAAAAAAATTGTTATAGTAAATTTGGGTTTTTGAATTAATTTATTAAATATTGCGCATTTAACCCCAATTTTTTTAATCGAAAAAAATTATAACATTTTTAATAAAATTTAATAAATGTTAAAAATTTTAAAGCAATAAAAGTGGCATGTGTATAAAAAATTAAATCCTTCAAAAAAAATTCTTTTTTCGAATAATAGTATATAAAAGAAATTATCATTTAACAACTCTGAAAATAAAAAAAACTAATAAAATTTAGTTTGATAAAATGGAACGCACGAAGAAGCTTTAAAACAAATTTTTTTTTAAATTACGATTTTATAGAATCTTATTCTGTAGAATATTACTTTTGCAGAATATTAAAATTATTTTTAAAAAAATTAATTTTGCAAAATTTTTTATTAAACCGATTTATAATTTTGAGGTTATCTCAAAATCCTTACATTTTATGAATATATTTTCTACACACAGAAAAAAGATTTCTTTGGTTTAAAGAAACCAATTTCTTTGACTATGCTTTTATTCAAAAAAATAAAATTTTTTTTGAAACAAAAAAAAGCTTTTTAGTTTCAAAGCAATTTTCTTTGAATGAAAGAAATTTTTGCATTAAATCAAAGAAATTCTTTATACGATTAAAGAAACATTTATTTGAATTAAATAAATTTTTTTTTGGCCTGAAGTACAGACGATAATTTTTTATTCGTTATTTTTGTGTAGATGAATCCGAATCTAATGTACGTTTTACCCCATCACCGTTAGAATTTTGACATAACCTCAAAAACCATTAACAAGAATTATCAAGAAGCTTTATTATTGCTTTAAAATTTTTAACATTTATTAAATTTTATTATAAACTTTATCTTTTTTTGAATTAAAAAAATTGTTATAGTAAATTTGGGTTTTTGAATTAATTTATTAAATATTGCGCATTTAACCCCAATTTTTTTAATCGAAAAAAATTATAACATTTTTAATAAAATTTAATAAATGTTAAAAATTTTAAAGCAATAAAAGTGGCATGTGTATAAAAAATTAAATCCTTCAAAAAAAATTCTTTTTTCGAATAATAGTATATAAAAGAAATTATCATTTAACAACTCTGAAAATAAAAAAAACTAATAAAATTTAGTTTGATAAAATGGAACGCACGAAGAAGCTTTAAAACAAATTTTTTTTTAAATTACGATTTTATAGAATCTTATTCTGTAGAATATTACTTTTGCAGAATATTAAAATTATTTTTAAAAAAATTAATTTTGCAAAATTTTTTATTAAACCGATTTATAATTTTGAGGTTATCTCAAAATCCTTACATTTTATGAATATATTTTCTACACACAGAAAAAAGATTTCTTTGGTTTAAAGAAACCAATTTCTTTGACTATGCTTTTATTCAAAAAAATAAAATTTTTTTTGAAACAAAAAAAAGCTTTTTAGTTTCAAAGCAATTTTCTTTGAATGAAAGAAATTTTTGCATTAAATCAAAGAAATTCTTTATACGATTAAAGAAACATTTATTTGAATTAAATAAATTTTTTTTTGGCCTGAAGTACAGACGATAATTTTTTATTCGTTATTTTTGTGTAGATGAATCCGAATCTAATGTACGTTTTACCCCATCACCGTTAGAATTTTGACATAACCTCAAAAACCATTAACAAGAATTATCAAGAAGCTTTATTATTGCTTTAAAATTTTTAACATTTATTAAATTTTATTATAAACTTTATCTTTTTTTGAATTAAAAAAATTGTTATAGTAAATTTGGGTTTTTGAATTAATTTATTAAATATTGCGCATTTAACCCCAATTTTTTTAATCGAAAAAAATTATAACATTTTTAATAAAATTTAATAAATGTTAAAAATTTTAAAGCAATAAAAGTGGCATGTGTATAAAAAATTAAATCCTTCAAAAAAAATTCTTTTTTCGAATAATAGTATATAAAAGAAATTATCATTTAACAACTCTGAAAATAAAAAAAACTAATAAAATTTAGTTTGATAAAATGGAACGCACGAAGAAGCTTTAAAACAAATTTTTTTTTAAATTACGATTTTATAGAATCTTATTCTGTAGAATATTACTTTTGCAGAATATTAAAATTATTTTTAAAAAAATTAATTTTGCAAAATTTTTTATTAAACCGATTTATAATTTTGAGGTTATCTCAAAATCCTTACATTTTATGAATATATTTTCTACACACAGAAAAAAGATTTCTTTGGTTTAAAGAAACCAATTTCTTTGACTATGCTTTTATTCAAAAAAATAAAATTTTTTTTGAAACAAAAAAAAGCTTTTTAGTTTCAAAGCAATTTTCTTTGAATGAAAGAAATTTTTGCATTAAATCAAAGAAATTCTTTATACGATTAAAGAAACATTTATTTGAATTAAATAAATTTTTTTTTGGCCTGAAGTACAGACGATAATTTTTTATTCGTTATTTTTGTGTAGATGAATCCGAATCTAATGTACGTTTTACCCCATCACCGTTAGAATTTTGACATAACCTCAAAAACCATTAACAAGAATTATCAAGAAGCTTTATTATTGCTTTAAAATTTTTAACATTTATTAAATTTTATTATAAACTTTATCTTTTTTTGAATTAAAAAAATTGTTATAGTAAATTTGGGTTTTTGAATTAATTTATTAAATATTGCGCATTTAACCCCAATTTTTTTAATCGAAAAAAATTATAACATTTTTAATAAAATTTAATAAATGTTAAAAATTTTAAAGCAATAAAAGTGGCATGTGTATAAAAAATTAAATCCTTCAAAAAAAATTCTTTTTTCGAATAATAGTATATAAAAGAAATTATCATTTAACAACTCTGAAAATAAAAAAAACTAATAAAATTTAGTTTGATAAAATGGAACGCACGAAGAAGCTTTAAAACAAATTTTTTTTTAAATTACGATTTTATAGAATCTTATTCTGTAGAATATTACTTTTGCAGAATATTAAAATTATTTTTAAAAAAATTAATTTTGCAAAATTTTTTATTAAACCGATTTATAATTTTGAGGTTATCTCAAAATCCTTACATTTTATGAATATATTTTCTACACACAGAAAAAAGATTTCTTTGGTTTAAAGAAACCAATTTCTTTGACTATGCTTTTATTCAAAAAAATAAAATTTTTTTTGAAACAAAAAAAAGCTTTTTAGTTTCAAAGCAATTTTCTTTGAATGAAAGAAATTTTTGCATTAAATCAAAGAAATTCTTTATACGATTAAAGAAACATTTATTTGAATTAAATAAATTTTTTTTTGGCCTGAAGTACAGACGATAATTTTTTATTCGTTATTTTTGTGTAGATGAATCCGAATCTAATGTACGTTTTACCCCATCACCGTTAGAATTTTGACATAACCTCAAAAACCATTAACAAGAATTATCAAGAAGCTTTATTATTGCTTTAAAATTTTTAACATTTATTAAATTTTATTATAAACTTTATCTTTTTTTGAATTAAAAAAATTGTTATAGTAAATTTGGGTTTTTGAATTAATTTATTAAATATTGCGCATTTAACCCCAATTTTTTTAATCGAAAAAAATTATAACATTTTTAATAAAATTTAATAAATGTTAAAAATTTTAAAGCAATAAAACTGGCATGTGTATAAAAAATTAAATCCTTCAAAAAAAATTCTTTTTTCGAATAATAGTATATAAAAGAAATTATCATTTAACAACTCTGAAAATAAAAAAAACTAATAAAATTTAGTTTGATAAAATGGAACGCATGAAGAAGCTTTAAAATAAATTTTTTTTTAAATTACGATTTTATAGAATCTTATTCTGTAGAATATTACTTTTGCAGAATATTAAAATTATTTAAAAAAAATTAATTTTGCAAAATTTTTCATTAAACCGATTTATGATTTTGAGGTTATGTCAAAATCCTTACATTTTATGAATATATTTGCTACACACAGAAAAAAGATTTCTTTGGTTTAAAGAAACCAATCTCTTTGACTATTCTTTTATTCAAAAAAATAAAATTTTTTTTGAAACAAAAAAAAAGAAATTTTCTTTGAATGAAAGAAATTTTTGCATTAAATCAAAGAAATTCTTTATAGGGTTAAAGAAACATTTATTTGAATTAAATAAATTTTTTTTTTTTTTTTTTGAAACGAAGATAATTTTTTTTTTAATCAAAGCTAATTTGTTGGAAACAAATAAAAATTTTCTTCGTATCAAAAGAAAAAAAAAATTTGAAACTGATTTCTTTGATGCAAATAAATTTTTTATGTAAATAAAAAATGAGAATTGTTGAAATTTTTTAGGCACAATAACAGCAATTGGTTACGGTTCAGCAATGACGTGGACTTCACCGTCAATTCCCTATCTAACAAGTGAAAAATCACCAATTCCATTGACAAAAGAGCAAAGTGATATTATATCATCTCTATTGACAGTTGGCTATATCACTGGCTACATAATGAATCCTTTTGTAATTGAAAAATTTGGCAGTAAACGAACATTACTAATTTATACAATACCACAAATGGCAGCGTGGATATTAATAAATCTTTCTAAAACTCCAATCACATTATACATTGCAAGAGTATTTGCCGGCATGGGTTATGGAGCTGGAATTTGTGCATTAACAATTTATCTTTCTGAAATTGGCACATCAAAAACAAGAGGAATTTTTATATCCTATTTAAATCTTGCCATGGGATTTGGATTTTTTCTCGTCATGCTCTTTGGTGCCTATATACCTTATGAATACATGAATTTAATTCTTTTAACATTTCCAATAATTTTTGCCATTACATTTATTTTTATGCCCGACGCTTCTTATTTTCACAATGAAGAAAATGAGAATGGGGAAATGAAAATTAAATTAAATTCATCTGAAAAGGAAGATTTAATAACGCACGAGATGAAAGAATTAAATATTTCACAGAGAAATGAAATTTCCGAAAATAATTTTCCTAAATCTGATACAGAAATCGAATTAAATCCAAAGGAATATTCAAAATTAGATATTGATCCAAATCGTGAATTTGATAAACAAAATTTTAACAATGATTTAATAAATAATCCCAACTATAAATTAAGGGAAAATTTTGATTCCGAAGAAAAATTAAAAGCAGATCGTAATTCAAAGGAAGATGATGAAAGTGATTTTTTTAATTTTAAAAAATCAAGATTTTGGAAAATGATAACAACACAAAATAGTCGAAAAGCATTGATAATAACAATTAGTCTTGCTGCACAAGATGTTCTCTCGGGTCATATGGTTGTATGGACATTTACACAACAATTATTAACAAGTAAAGAATCGCCAATTGATTCGGAAAAAGCGACAATGTTTTTGGCATTGGCAAAAATAATTGCCTCTGGTATAAGTGCGCAAATAATTGAAAAAACAAATAGAAGAAATATACTTTTTGTCACAAGTATTATTGGAATAATTGCAAATATTGTATTGTGTGTATTTTTTTTTATGGAAGAAGGAAATTATGATATTTCAATGTTTACATGGTTACCGTGTGTTGGATTAACATGCTATGAATTATTTCTTTCAATTGGTTGTGCAAATTTTTTTTACGTCTATCAAGCAGAATTATTTACATCCGATGTTAAAAGTCTAGGCGTTATGGTCTGTAAAGTATCATATATGGCACTCTCATATTTTTGTCTATTTCGATTTCAAGTTTTAATGGCCGCCATTGGTAGAGCAATGATTTATTTGATATTCAGTATTTTTAGTATTATTGTTTCAATTTTTGTTTTATCCATCACACCCGAAACACGTGGTAAAACAAATAATGAAATTCAAATGATTTTAAAGAAAAAAAAATTTTTTGTTTAAAATTTTTTTTTATATATATATATATATATGTAATATGTATAGATATAATCTCAAATTAGGCGAAAATAATCTTAAAAATAAAAAAAATTTTAATATATTTAGTTCAGTGTGTGTATGTGTAAAAATAAATTTTGCTTTGTATAATTTATAATAAATTGCTTATTATTTCTCTCCAATAATATAATTAATTTATAAAGAAATAAGCAAAATTTTTAAATCGTAAAAAAAAAAAATGCTGGAAAAAATTCTCGATTAGATTCTAGAAAAATATTTCAATAAAAATGTGGATAATTTGTTTTTTTTTTTTTTTTTTTTTTTTTTTTTTATTGCTAAAGTGATTTCCTGACAAAAAATCACGAATTGAAAATAAAATAAGTTGAGCAGTTATATATAAAAGCGTAGTTTTTTTGAAATAAATTTTAGATAGGTAACTTAGCAGCACAAAGTTGTTTTACACTATATTAGTTTAACATATATTTGAAGTTAAAAAAAAAAAAAATTCAAAAATGGCTTTTGATATCATTAATTTGATTGTCATTGGATTCTTTATACAAGAAATCTGTATGTATATTTGAATATAGAAAATTATTTGTTCTAAATTTTTTTTTCTATATTATGTATTTGTTTTTAGACTCGCAGTGTGATGATTCGACACTAAACATTAAAAATGCATATATTACATACAATTCAGAGAATACACTAGCGCTAGTAGAATGCTATTCAGATTATACTATTCAAGGATCTGATAGTATTCGCTGTATTTTTGACACTTGGCTTTATGCATTTAACACAACATGTATTCGTAAGTAATTAATTTCTTTTTTTTCTACTATATATGGCACGAAAGCCTTATAGTTTAGCTTTGGCGTCCGTCTGTCCGTCCGTCCTATACGCTATGGTAACAGTTACCATAGAATTTTATATTAAAAAATATGTTCTAGATAATAATTGTTTAAATTTAAATAATTCTATTTATTACACTATGGAAAATGGAAAAGTATTATCAACTTATTCAAATGGTAAAGCATATTTGAAATATGAATGCAATGAAAATTACACACTAACGGATAGTTTACGTGATTATGCATTTTGTGAAAATGGAATATGGAAATCATATGAAACGAAATGTGAATTAAATGTTGAAGAATATAAACGTCGAAAAGCATATAAAACAATACAAAAGCTAGAATGTATGTATATATGTATTATAAATCTTAAACTGATTTAAAATTTTTTTTCTATACACATACACTTATTTTTAGCTTTTAAGTATGTTCTAAAATTCTATCATTTAAAAATTAAAACTATTGAAAATAACACTATAAGCGTAGAGTGTGATGATAATTATACCCTCATAAAAAGTACAACTTTTCAATATATTGATGAAGAATGGGGCAGGGAAGGTGGTTTTTCTTTATGTTATCGTAAGTATTTCATATCTGATTCATTTAATTTCTTAATTGAGCGTAAAATAATCACTGTAATTTTTTTTTCATATCTGTGGAAAAATTCTTACTCTGTAATATGCAATTATTAACATTTTTCAGATAATAATTGTTTAAATAATTCTTTGTATAACACTGTTGAAAATGGAATAGTAACAGCCAATAAATATGGTGGACTTATAATTCTTAATTATGAATGCAATGAAAATTACAAACTAAGTTCTTTTCCTTTGATAATGTGTTCTGATGGAAATTGGTCAGGTAATCCTAATAAATGTATATTAGAATAAATAATTTTGTTCTATATAATATATAAATATATATATATAGAAAAATTTTCTAATATGCAATATCAAATTGTCTCAGATAGATGATTACTTTTTCGTTTTTTCTTTTCAAGTATATGCTAAATATTGATAAAAACAAATAAAAATTTACTTTCTTTTATCAACGTATATCAAATGCATTGATATTGTTTAAAACAATTATCATATTTCAAATAATAATATAATTGTATAAATAATTTTTCGCATTTAAATGTGTGTATAAATAAATAAATTATGTAAAAACAAATTAAATATCTTATTTTCCTTATTCTTTAATAATTAATTTATAATAAAAATCAAACAGTTTAAAATTTTTTTAAATATTCTTTAAATGTTTTGCTATATATTTTTTTTGTTATTGGAATATAATTAAAAAATTTCAAATCTAATGTCAAATTTGTAATTATAGCGATCCGGAAAGTATCCATTAGTGCTTTTTAAAATAATTACTTAATAAAAATATTGTTAATTACATATACATATATTAATTGAGGTTGCGGATTTCGCATTGTGTTTTAAAGAAATTATATATTTAAAAAAAAAAAATTTACACCACATTCATGAAACTAACGATCTCTCTAGCCATTTCTAAAAAGCTCAAATACCGGCATTCACACATACGATAACCAAGTGTAAATAGACCTACACTAGGGATTACGTCCCAGGACTCATATACCACTATAATAGTATAATAGTTCGATGCGGGGAACTATTCTTGTTTTTGCTTTCTCTGCATCCTTCTTTCTGTCTTTCAGTCTTTATAGTATATACAAAAATCAAAATATTTAAAGATTAAAAAAAACAAATGCACTTTACAATTAAAGTTCTTGTTTTTGCTTTCTCTGCATCCTTCTTTCTGTCTTTCAGTCTTTATAGTATATACAAAAATCAAAATATTTAAAGATTTAAAAAAACAAATGCACTTTACAATTAAAGTTCTTGTTTTTGCTTTCTCTGCATCCTTCTTTCTGTCTTTCAGTCTTTATAGTATATAGTATAAAAAAGTCAAAATATTTCAATCGCGATTTTAAAAATTTCAGACACTCCCGAATCACGTGTAAGAATCAAAATTTATCTAATTTTTACGATCGCGGTTTTTAAATATTACAAACACTCCCGAGATACTAAAAATAATATTTTAATTAAAATTAATAAATATTAATTCACATAAAAATAAATTTCAAAAAAAATTTATCGTACGAAAATTAGACGCTCTAGAAAAATTTTGAATTTTCACGAATCACATGAACAAAAATTAATCAACATTGAAGAATAATAAAAGTTGGAGTCAAGTACTAAAAGGATTCAATAAAATGAAAACAAACTCCCATAGTTTCATTCAAGAAAAAAAATTCTCAAATCAAAAAATCATTCTTAATCTAAACCAATAGATTATAGAATAGATTTTCTCTTTATCTTCTTAATCTTCTTTTCGAAATAATTTTTTTCAATAATATTTATTGCAATCGAATATCAAAATAACTTATACAAAAATTTCGTAAATATAATAAAAAAAAAAAGAATCGTTGCACAGGAACAAAAATTACACCCCCTCTTTTTGAATATCCAGCATCTAAAAAAAAAAAAAACCTCTATAGAAAATAAAAAAAAAAATTATAATATTAATTTTATTACATCTCTATAGTAATTATTATAATAAAAATAAATTAAAACTACTTTTTCTCATTTGTGCAATGAAATTAAAAAAAGAACTTTTTACAAATTGCTTTACAAATTAAAAAAAAGAAATTAAATTTGCTTTTTTTACAATTTAATTTCCCAAAAAAAAAAATAAATTCACTTTATACATTCCAATAGAATGTCCATTCTACGATTCCGATAGAATATCCTCTAAAGTTTTATCATCGTGTAATGGTGAATGTCCCAATGTTGGATCACTTTCAAGAAATTCACGTAATTCAGATTCCAAATCAGGAACACCAGCTGGTTCACCGGCAGTCAACAATGATGTCGTTTGATGATTGATACTAATTTGCATTTGGCTGGCGTTTACCAAATTGATTTGTGTCTGTTGACTTGCACTAGTGTTTAGTAAATTTGCATTATCTATCGCCGTTGGAGTTGATGGTAGTAAACTATCAGATATTTGATTGACATTCCCTAGTGTATTGTCAGTGACAATTGATGGATTATGTGTAATTGGTTCAACTTCCATTGGTTCGGTACCACCACTACCACTACCACCACTACCTCCACTATTACCACCACCTATTGGCGCAATACCCATTGCTTTTCTTAAACCATCAACTGGCGCAATTGCCGATGGTGGTAATTTTTTCGATATTTCCGTTAAATTTTCCGTTATTTTCTCAGCCAATGTTACTTCATTGTCCTTTGGTTTTGGTATTGTTGTTAGATGTGCCGGTGGTTGTGCCGAAAGACGTTCGTGTTGAACTTGCTGTAAATGATTTAATAATTGTGATGTATCATCTAAACGACTTTGTAATGTTGCACTGTCTTCGGAGAATTTTAATTCTTCTTCTGTAATGAAAAAAAAAAACCATAATTAATCTCTTTTGATACCATTTCAAATCTAATTTCTTTCAACTTACCTAAATTATCAAGGAAATTAATATCAATACCAAGATCCGATAATGATTTCAATTGATCGACATCGACTTTAATTTTATCAAGTTGAACATTTCGATTAACTTCTTGTATTGGTTTTTCCAAAAGATGTTTAATTTTCTCCTCCTCCTCCTTGAGTCGACGTTTTTCATCAATGAATTTTTTTGTTTTACGATGTTCACCACCCGTTAATATATCAAGTAATTCATCAACCATATTGAGCGTATAATCACAATCTTTGGCAAAATCAAGAATTGATTCAGCATATTGAACAGCAGTATCGTCACCATATGTTTTATAAACTAAATCCGATTCATCCTTGGTGAGATTAGCAAATGTTGAATCATAACTCGGTGCATATGAGCCAAATGCACCGTAATAAAGTGGTTTAATTGGTTTTGACATATTTCTACGATCTTCACGAAAACCCGCCAATGAACCAGTGCCATGATTCAATTTTCCCATTAATTGTCCTAATGAAACTGGTCGTTGATTTGTACCCGGTATTACACCATCGCCTGGTACAATAATTTGTAAACTTGTTGTACCATCTTTTTTTTGTCTCAAAAAACCCATTTTTGTACCATATCTTTTGGAATTTAATTTTTCAGCAGCAATTTTTGATGCATTACGCGCTTGTTTTAAAATTTCCTCCGGTGTCATATCATCGGGTATTGCTTCAAATTTACCTAAATTTGCAAGTCTCATTTTACGTTGATGCTCTTTGCGTAATTCCTCGGCTTCTTCATTTCTTTCCTCTTGTTCTCTTTCTTTTTCAATTTGTTCCTCAGTTATAAGAATATCAGGATTATTTGGATCCTCAACACCTAATTCAAAACCCAATTCTTCTTTTGTAATATCATGCATATATGTTAATACTGGTCTTAATTGACGTAATTTCTCAGGTGTTACCATTTTCATGCCAACGTGTAATAATTTTTTTGCCGCCTTATAATAAATTGTATCCTGATGATTATATGTCATTGCATTGTCGCACATTAATTTAAAATCATCAATAAAATCATTGAGTATTTGATAATTATTGTCGTCAATTTTTTGTTTTATTGTACTAAAATCCATGGGATTTGTTATTATTTGTGAATAACCAGGTGCAATATTATCAGTAACAGGCCATGCAAAAAATTGTTGTGGATCACGTTTTTCCATTGATTTTAATAAATGTTCAAGTAATCGTTGTAATGGTGTGCGTTCAGCTATTTTACGTAATACACATGTACGTGGCTCACGATGTGGTGATAAACCACTTTGTAATGGTGATACACCAAGACGATGTTCAGTTTGTGGTGGTCTTGGTGGCATTAATTGTTGATTTGCTATTTTTTTTGGTATCTCCATTAAACTCTCATCACCATCGCCAACTGATTCTTGACTTGATTCCTCACGTTTTCGTTTTCTATCCTTGTGATGATGTTTATGTCGTTTGTCCTTCTTTTTTTTCTTCTTCTTTAATTTCTTATGACCCATGTATCTGTGAAGGGTTTGAATTTCACATTAAAAATTGGAATATTTTTTAATTTTCTTTCACAATTTTTTTAAAATAATTACTAACCTATCATATTCCGATTCGCCTTGAGTGACGGAATAATTAATTCCCAATTGCTGTTGATAGTGTTGTGAAAGCATATTTGCTTGATTTGGCGATTCGGAACCGTGCTCGGGAGTTCCACTGCTTCCTCCAACTTTTAAAATTAATTTCAAAGCCGGTGGTTTATCCGGTGTCGAGTAATCTGCAAATGCAATAGATTTTTATTAAATTAAAATAAGAAATTCTTTCACTAGTTCTTAATGTTTACATAGACAATTTTGTTTAAATTTTTTTTTTTTATAAATAGTTGTACAGTAAAATAGAAATGAAGATTCTAAACAATCGGGTTTTTAAAAAATTTATACAATTTTCTATTGTAAAAAATATTTAATAATTATTAGTTGGTAATTAAAATAATTATTAAATTATTTAGTTTTGATAACAAAAACGATAACAGTATAGATGTTAGTTTTTTTGGATTTGCATAATTTAGTCATGATGTTATTTGTTTTTGGTAAAAATCCACATTTTATTTTTAAAATTCTTATATTAAATGAGCTTTCGCCCGTCAACGTCGAGCCTCATCAGATTTAAATACAATATGGATTTCCACTCTCATTTAATAATTTTAAATAAAATAATAATTACGAAATCCTGATTTCCTCTTCAGAGAGTCTAATAATAGAAAAAAAATTATAAAATTAAATATATATGATGTATTCCACGCCAAAGTGTCCATCTGTAATTGCATCTCCGATTTTTTTTCTTTTAGTACTAATTGAGACTAGGTTCCATGAATTTTTTCAAATTTTTTTAGCAAGTCGTTTTTGAGTTATGGAATTTTGAAAATTGGAGAATTTTCATGACTTTTAATTTTTGAATGCTCATAACTTCCTTAAAAATGCATCAATTTTAAAAGTTGTTTTTGTCAAAATATGTGTTTTTAAACGTACTTTTCAACAAAAAAAAATCGAAACTTTTTTTTTAAAACGATATTTACTATCAAATTTTTGAGTTTTAATGATAAAAAGTCATTTTTCTCATTTGAGGTACTGATCGATTTTTTTCAAAATTTTTTCAAAAAAACTACTTATTACGAAATTTTTAAGCCTAGCCCGATAATGGACAAACAATTTTTACGTTTTCGTAATTTTTCAAAAATTTTTGAATTTTTTAAAAATATTTTTGGTTTTTTTTTATACTACGTACTTTTTATGTATTTTGATGCACGATTGTGAAAATGACTGATTGCTAATTTTAGTTTCATTCTTTTTATTTAGTAAATTGTTTTTATGTCTATTTTATTTATTTTTATTTTACATATTTATATCTGTAATTTATTTTTATTTACTACATATTTTCCCTTGTTTTAAAGCCGCAAAAAACGGTTTATAGATCAACGCTGCATTTTTGAGGTTATGTCGACAAAAAAAAATTTAATTCCCTCCTCGATAAAAAATAAGCAAAAAAAAAACCCCCTGTCGATCGTGAATATATCACAAAACGTAAAACAAAATACAAAAAAAAATATACTTGAAACCGAATTAAAAAAAAAGAAAAAAACATCAAAATAGAAAAAACACAAAGAAACAAAAATTGAGGGAAAAATTTTCGTTTAATTTGTAGAAAAAAAAAATTCTTAATCAATAATCATAAAAGAGCCAATAAAAAACGGTTTTTTTTTATAAAATTATTTATACGCACCTGAATTGATCTTTACTATTTCTATCTCTCTCACTCACTTTCCTTTCACTCACTCTCTCTCTCTCTCACTCACTCATTTATCTTTCTTTCTCTCTCACCTTCTTGTTTTTCTCGTTTGTGTTTTTTGTTCCTTTTTATCGTGTTCATTGTTTCTTTGTGAGGCCACAATTCAAAAATATTATCGCAAACAATAATTGTGTTTAAAGAAAAAAATTGAAAATTTACACTGGAAAATAGAGGAATAATTTACAAACAGAAACAAACACAAGCTTGCCGCGTTCCGTCTCTCTGCATTGAGTTCGGAATCTGGTACGACGCCATATTGGCTTAACGTCAGATGATCATCTACTTCAAAAATTATCTCAATGCAAACCGACAACTTGTCAAGTTGAGGCGTCTCTCATTGGTTGAAATTTAGAGCGCGAAAATTTGAATTATAAACATTTTTAAATAAGATGGTTTTTTGTTTTTAGTTTTTTATTTTTAATTGTTAATAGTAAAATAGTAAATTTTAAATAAAATATAAAATAAAATATAAAATTCTAAATAAAAATATAAAATTTTAAATAAAATATAAAATAAAAATATAAAATTTTAAATGAAATATAAAATAAAAATTTTAAATAAAAATATAAAAATATACCATCTGTATAATAATTTTAGTTAGTTAAAAATTATATTTAAAATTAAAAAATGTTTACTTTTTTCAAAAATATGAAAATTTAAAAAAAATTTAATTTTATAAAATTTGTGTAACTTTTTTCTTTTTAAATTTAAAAAGTCTTCATACTTGACTAGAGCAATCTTTATTTTTTTTTTTTCCCAACTTTTAGTAGGTTTCATTTATGAGAGAGTTTATGATTATTATATAAAAAAATAACGATGTTTAATTTAATTTAAAATCGATATCATCATTTTTATTATTAATTTAAAATCCTTTTTTTTTATAATTGAAAGCCTTTTAACCTTGAAGAAGGTTTACTTCAAACCATTAAATAAGAGATAAAATTATTACCTCTATGTAATAATTAATTAATATTTTATTATTATTATTATTATTATTATAATTTTTTTTATTTTTATTATTATTATTGTTATTATTATTATTCTATTTATTATTAAAATTTGTTATTATAAAATTATTTTAAAATTTTGAAAAAAAGCTAAATTATTTGTATAAATAAGAATTCTTTTATATAGAAGAAAAATTTAAATTTCAAACTTGGGAATTTTTTTTTTTTGCTTTCGATTTTTTTTCTCATCTCTAAAAAGAAGGATTTACATGAAAGAAAGGAATCAGATAAGCTTAATATCTTATGTATTTTGTATAGCAAATGCTCGTTTTATCGTTTACTCTATCTATCTCTCTCTCTCTCTTAAATATATATAGTTACATCCACTTTTCGTGTAAATCCGATTTAAAGCATCTTTCTAGTCTCCAGGAATATTAAGAAATAAAGGATAAAATGAACATTATTCCTCCTTTAAACTTTCAAAAAAAAAAAAAAAAAAAAAAAAGCTTATTCCTTGAAAGTAGACAAGATTACATGAATATTATTGCCAATTTTTCATGACACTGCGTATATTTATTAAAATGTATAAAAATTTTTCCTAAAAAAAAAATTTAGATTTTTTTCTAAATTTTTTAAATATTTTGAAATTAAAAAAATTTGGTTTTTTAACATTTTTTTGTTTATAAAACTTTTAAATATTTTGAAATTAAAAAAATTTGGTTTTTTAACATTTTTTTGTTTATAAAACTTTTAAATATTTTGAAATTTTTAAAAAATTTATGAAAAAAAAATATTAATTTAAAATTATAATTAATTAAAATATTTAAAAAAAAATTTTTTTTTAGCAAATAAATAATTGCTACTGCCCTGCGTGATAAAATTTCTTTATAGTTATGCGGCTATTAATAGTGCAACACTATTTCTGCTTTACATTTATTTCAAAATTTTGTTACATGTTATCCTCGATATTTTAATATTTAAAAAAAAAATTAATATTTTAAAAAATAAAAAAAAATAATTCGAAAATTAAAAAACCCTTAATTAAACTTAAAATAAAAATTAAAAAAAAAATTAAAAAAATTAAAAAATTAAAAAATTTATTTATAAAAATAGTAAAAAGAATTTTATTTTCTAGAAAATTTATCAATATTTAAAAAAAAGACATTGTAATCACTTTTTTGAAAAAAAATAAAGTAAAAAATTTTCCAAAAATTCTAACTTAAATGAAAATAATTTTAGCAAAAAAAAAAAAAACAAAATTATTTATCATATTACCATTATACGCCTTTGACACATAAATCCTCGCCCATTTCAAGTTGCGAATAATTTTCAAAAATTTGCACAATTTTAATATTTAAAAAAAAATTCTTTTTCACCATTTGCAAATAAAATTTCATTGTAAATAATTTTTACCATCGAAAAGTTAAAAAAAAAAAAAATTAAAAAAAATAATTTTTTTTTCCTTAACTTTATTTCCACACAACTGACGTATATAATATAATATGCAACACTGCACAGACAAGATTTTGGCTTTCATTCGCCCTACACACAGTGCATTTGCAACACTGTAAAAAAAAAAAAAACAGAAGAAAATGAACCACGACAAAACAATAAATTTCACACCGCACTTATGTGCGCGTATCAAAGACTGGTATTGAAAAAAAAAAAAATTTGAAATACAAATTTAATAAAATAAAAATTCTCTTCTAGAAAAAAACAAAAAAATTTAAAAAATAATTATTTAAAAAAGGAAAGTCTCTTTGTTACCATATATTTTAATACACACTCTTCTCGAATTTTTCCTATCGATTTTATAACCTCCATTTTCTCATAAAATTCACATTATTTTACCCCTTAATATCCCATGGATTTTTTATATTATTATTTAAAAATTGATACAAGTATTTTTCACTTTCTTTTTCCCTCGTACTCAAAACAAAAATAAGTAAAATTTTTGCAATTACCTTTTTTATTCTTTCATCCACTCTTCAATAGAAAATTGATTTTTCTATTTCTTGTTTTTAAAAGAAACACATATTCACACTAATATTTTCCCCCCACCCAAAAAAAACCTAATTTCAAATAAAATATCACTGCGTTAAAATAAATATTTTTTTGAATAAAAAATTATTAAAGCGAGAAAAAAATGATCGTTTCCATATACAGTTTTATTTAAGATTTTAGTTACCTGGTCACCGCCCTTTTTGTTACGGCCCTGAAACGCTAACCCTAACCTAACCTATAGAAAAATGCTCTCGAGAGAAAGAAAATTTTGCCGACAAAATTATTGTTGGGGATTAAAAAAATAGAATAATTAAAAAAACTAGAGAATTCAATATAAAAAAAATAAATTTTGTGTACGTGTTTTTATATATATATAGAACTTACCAATATGAGAAAATTGTTTCGTGAATCGTGGCGCGCGGACACAACGAGTGCAATATACAATTTGACGGGGTAGGCAATCAGCTGGTCAAGGCGTTCATCACCCCGGTGAAAAGAAAGAAAGAAAGAAAGAATGGAAAAAAAAAAATAAAAGTAAAAAAAATTCCTTTGCAGAGTAGACACAACTGCCATATAAAGACTGCGAACAAAAGAGTTACAAAACGGGTCTTGAACTCATGGTGTATATTCTCGAAAGGGCGATATTCTCAAAACGTTTTTCTTTCTCCTATAAAGAAACTGTTTCGCATTATTAAATTCAAAATATTAAAAGAATTTTCAAAATACATTCTCGTTTGTGAAAATATAATTAATATTTCGCGTTTAAAAAATTAAAAATCGTAATTTTTTTTTGAAAAAAAAAAAGAAATTTTTCGCCGAAATTTGAAATTCCGACGTTTTTGTGAAGACAAAATATCAATTTAATTTATCAATATCAATTTAAAAATCAACCATGAATTAGAAATTAATAATCAAATTAATTTTTTTGATATGACAATTATAAAGAATAATAATTTAATAACTGGTTATCAAAAAAAAATATATTTCTAATAAATTATTTTTCAAATCATCCAATCCAACAAAAAAAGAACCTGAAGAGGATACTTAGGTATCGAAACGTTGTCGCAACCAATTTTTATAACATCAATAAACATCAATAAAGACCGTAACTAAGGTTTCGTAAAAATTATTATCCAAAAAAGAACATTGTTTATGATATAAACACGGAGAAAAATGAGTTTGCTATTTATATGGATAGAGAATTTTTAGCTCTGATAACTAATATTTAGCTGTCACAGCAAAATATGTTAGCTATGGAAGCTAATTATTATAATTATTACATATTATTTTTATTATTATTATTATAAAGAAAATATAAAATTTATTTTTTAATAATTATTATCCATTGGAATTTATTCAAAAAAATGATAAAAGCCCGTTCTTACACTATATAAATAAAAAAAATAGTCAAATCTAATAATTTGGTTTCTATTTATTATATTAGACTGAAGAACGTAACGTTAAAAATTGAACGAAAACAAAATTCATAATTATGCATTCTATTTGCAATAAAAATTATACATCAAACACATAAATAGTAAATATTAAAAGCAAATTTAATTTTGAAAATAAAAGGAAAAAAATAATGCATTCGTGCCATTCAAAAGAGTACTAAAAAATGTGTCGAAAACGTCCATAATTTTTTTTTTATTTTTGAGGAGCGCTAAGGGTTGAAACTGAACAAAGAAAAAAAATATCCTCCGTTTTTAAAATTAACGAAATGAATTTTTTTTTTTATCATCAACTTCCGATAATTTCTGATTCCTTTTAATAATATTTATTTTCAATTATCTTAATATTCTCGAAAAAAATACAATTTTTTTTTAACTATATTTCAATGGTTCAAAAAAAAAATTTAGTTTCTGTTACAAAAATTGAGAAAAAGACACAAAAATGGAATAGAACTAGTTATTGTGTAATACTAATAATAATTGATTGTAATAATTTAATTGTAATAATAATAATAATTGAAAATAAATATTATTAAAAGGAATCAGAAACTTTCGGAAGTTGATGATAAAATTTAAAATTAATTTAATTTTAAATTAATGAACAATAAAAATTCTGATTCAGTTGTAAACAAATATCAAGCTGATTATAATCATTCTTTCAATTTTGATGATGCAAAAATTATAGATTACGAGAACCCACTTGGAAAGATTCCGCGGAAAGTGCCCCCTGGAGGTTCTATCATAATTCCGCCGGAACTTCCAACGTAATTCCGTCGGAATTCCATCGGAGTTCCAAAGAATTTCCGATGGGATTCCGACGGAGTTCCGAAGGAATTCTCACGGAATTCCGACGGAATTAGGACTCTAAAAAT